CCCGTCAAACTCGAGCTTCCACCCAGGCATTCCTACCTGACGTCGACAAAGTGGACCAAATAAACATATCTGGTGACCCTGCTTATGTCCACAATTCGTGGTACTACCCCAGACTTTCCACGGTTGACGCTTCTCCAAGGGCTCTTGTGGGGGGGGGGGGGGAGAAGAGGATGTTGGAATGATGGAATGGTGACCAGAATGAAAATGCAAGATGACCAGAAATGAAAATGCAAGATGAGCAAGAGCGAATGAGACAAAAGACGAACCATTTGATCGAGGATAGAAAGTAATTGATCCTCAGAGTCAAATGAGAGTTTCTGAAGAAGTTGAGGGATTGTCAGACGAGAATATGTCTGTTCGAGTTTTAATATTTTACGAGGGATAATAGAATTTATAAGTTGGTTTATCAATCCACGATTGTAATCCTGTTTGTCAACTTTGTTGCAACCAAATATAGCTATCTATATGGTAAAGATAAGAAACGGGTTCAGAGGGAGAAGAGACCGAGACAGTGGTGAAGGGTTGAATATAGAGGCGAGGGGGAAAAGTAGTAGGAAAAAGATATGATGAAGCACCAAAAAACTCACCTCGTCAAATATCTTATCCTGAGAATGATCCAACACTCCAGACCAATCTTCTTCATCGAAAGATTTAGAGATCCTTTCGTATGGTTGAGCATACCGTTCTAATAATCGAGTGACTGCTGAGGAAGTATATCTTGGGAAATGTAATTTCTATTTGTTAGCATCTTAATTATTTCTTCATCATCCCCATCCACCAATCATCTCCTCGAACCCCTCACAGTCCTTCCATCGCCAATCCTCATCAACGGTCATACTATTCTACTTGAAGAGGAATCAGAATGGTAGAATGCGACAACTCGTACTGACCTTTCCGGTACTTAACAAATTACATAAAATTGCCCTTTTCGCAGAAACCAATTGTATAGCCGAAGCTGCAGATGTTGGTATAGTCACTGCCTACTGATTTAGCATTCGATACATTCGATACCTTTTCTCAAGATTGATAGGAGGAACAAAAGAACATACCACATTGAAAAGTCCTACGGCTTTTGAGAATTCTTGTCTAGCCGCGCAGATAAGACCCGCGTGATGGTAAAATGAAATCACGTCGAGATATGTAGGATGACACTGATATCAGCCATATTTAGTCGAGAGAACTTACGAGTTTGGTATCTAGATATATATGATTGATTATTGGCATTGCTATGTCGAAATTGTCATTTAATCTAGCAGAGAGACAAGCCTTAGAGTTAGCTTGGAAGTTGAATTTATATGAAGAGAAAAGGCTTACTTCGAGAAAGATATGATGGATCGGAGTCAAAACATTTGGAGGATGATTTTGTATGAGATTTGATAAAGGTTCAATAACAGATAAAGGCTATTCGATAAGTCATACTTTTTCTCTTATGGAAGGAGATTTACTCACGGTAGATTCAAGGAAATTGTAGAAAGCATTGACAAAATTGACAACTTTCACGTCAGCCATGTTTAATGGAATGTGAAAGAGGCAATAGTCTGCTTTACCTTGTTTTTGACATAAGACTAATTGGGTGGTATCTGCTATTTGACATAATCTTGAAGCATCGTTATAGACTATATCTGAAGCTTGTGTTCCTCTTTTGACCGTTTTCAATCTCATCTCTCTGCTAAATCAGTCTAATTCACCGTCGTAGATTCCCGAGATAGAAAGAAGCAATAATGGGGTGAAAAAGGAGAACACTTACAGGATATATAACAGACCAGCTGTCATTCTGTTCAAATCTTCTGAAGATAATAAAGAAATATCGAATTCTCTACAAGCCAAAATTTCGTCTGTATCCACCAAATCCGCTTGTCTCATCTTGTCTAAAAGTGGGATGAGAGATTTCTCGATGGAAGTTATCGTGTCTGAAGCTTTGATCTGTCGTTCTAATTTCCCCGTTTGGGTATATTCTCCCAGAAAGGGGATCAACGTTTCCATATTGTTCAAATTGGGTATGACGGGGGACATGATTGTTGAGATTTAAAATGGAAGGAATGGTTGTGGAGACGAGTTGGAGAGAGACGTTTAGAGAAGGTAATCGTATTCGCCTTTGTGGCACATCGAAATTTGTGGCGGAATTTTCGTAATTATTATTTCTATCTTCTTCATATACCTCCCTTTGTTCCTCGATGACTTCGCGGCCGTAGTCGTAGGTCTGAGAAGGTCTTGTTCCTTCATATTGGAACTCTATAAATGAGCCTTCTGACTCAGACCTATAGAGGGGGGAGGGAGGTCGATAGAGGGGAGAAGGAGGAAGAAAGGTCGGGGAAGGAGGGTGAGAGGGAGGATGGAAGATGGGTGAAAGGGGTCGGATAGTGGGTGAAGAGAGGGGAGGTGAAGAGGGGTAAGAGGGAGGTGAAGAGTGGTGGGGTTGGGGAAAAAAATCTCTTCGTTCCGGTTCTTCAGAATGAGATGAACCGGCCTCGGGAAGAGGAAGACGAGGAGATGGGAGTGAACAGGATGGTAATAATCCTGGACCTCCAATGGTGAGAGGAGGAACTTCCCATCCTAATCCGCTTGAAAAGCAGAGAGAAGGGGAAGGAAGAGAGGAGAAAGGAGATGAGATTGGACCGGGAGGGGAGTTGGGAGGAGGTCCAATATGGGAAGTGGGTGGCCCTTGTGAATCATTGAAGAAACAATAGGGCCAAAATTCTGGTAGAGGGAAGTTAGGGGGATCCAATAGATCACCCAGTCTCATCTTGACATAAGTATTGGTAGGATGAGTAGAGAATATGACAGGTACATTCATTGCTTATATATCATTCAAACCTCCATCTCGATGTTAGAATGTCACGCTTTGATAAATAATCACTCGTTCATCGTTATGACATGATAGTAGGACGATCATACAGTATCCATTTCCAGGGTTGAGGGGGGGTTTTGAGTCCATAGAGGGTAAGAGATTGGGAAAGGTGACAGTAATTTGTCCCGAATTAGGAGGAAGAATGAATGAGAGTGAGACATTACCCATTTTGACCATTCGAGCAGACTATAAGGGGGAATGTCACGCAGCTGCGGATCGATGGTAAGTCGCAGCAGGAGCCAACAAGAAAGAGTTACACATTCTCGTCATCGATTCGTCAATGCGATACTGGCCAATGAGGGGTGATATTGGGTATTGATGTAGATTCATTTGCTATGTGGTGTATCTCATAGGTGCATCCCAGACCATGGACCGTGTACCATGTTCAAAGAATTGTCAAAATGGCTCGATTGGGAAACGTGACTCGCAAGATGATGTAAGACTGAATTAATGACGGCAGAGGGTGGTCTTGAGCAGCTTGAGCTGGGAATTCATGTATCATCTTTCGTTCTCCTATTTTAGTTGTGGTTGTGGCGACATCTATACGAGTACATGCGATTGTGGGGTTGGGTGGTGAAGAGGAAGAGGAGCTGTACATAGGTGTCGTATGCAGAGCAAGTCCCAGTCGTAGAAGCGGGGCTCCAGGTCCGGTAGTTGCCGGTAGAATTCAATGACCAATCGGTCCCCTTTGTCGGTCTTTCAGGGGCTTCAGGGTCGTCGTACTCCGTTCTGCCCCAAGGGGGAAAAAGTAAAGTTGAAAGATTGATAGGTCTGTGCGTTTGTTTAGTCAAAGGTAGTAGTAGTGTTAGATGGGTCCTTTGAGGCTCGTGCGTTTGTTTCTCCCGTCACTCCATGCTCCACCACCTCAACATCCTTACACAATCACTACTTCACACACACATTCATCTGTTATCCCGAAAACTGGCTGCGGCTGACGTGCTGCCTCCACTGTCAGTAGAGAGAGAGACGGGAACCGGTCCGAGAGGAGTAAAGTCTCGCCACTTGAGGCACGGTCTAACGGGAGAAAAGATTGAAAAAAAGGTAGGAGAATATACATTCTTCCCTACAGGGGTTAGCTTGATCAGGAACGGTACAGTTGGCCCCAAGAGGAAAGTGAAGAGGAAAGAGAGGAAAGAAGGGGCATGGGGCACAAGGGTCAAAGGGCAGTCACGTACCAAGACAAAAGTCATCGCTCGCTCCTCCAGCACCTAAGAACCTCTAGCACAACTGTATTACCAACTGGCAGTTGGGGCAGGAGAGAAAGACAAGAGGGAACATTTCACATCCACTCTTCCAACACTACTCTTTCACTTGTCCAGCAAGGTGGAGACATTACTTTTACGGTTGACCACCACTCGACGATCTCTCCTCATACGTCACAGAACCATTCGACATGACATACTCCCATAAAACTTCCACTCAAACGTCTGGGCAGTGATTGTCGTGGTGACATTCTCACTCGAACATCTACATCCCAGTGCCCAGTGGCCATTGACCTTTGACTATCGACACATCACACGACCCGACAAAACGACAGACGATAAACGACGACAGCCTCACGTACTACGGATCATTGTTCATTTGATCCACAAACCCCCCCACCTTACCCCTTGCTCGTACGTATCTATCATCTTCGCGTCCACACCCCAGACGCCCCTTCCCTTCCCTTCCCTTCCCACGACACAGCGGTGTAAGAATTGTACGGCATACTCCGTCTCTCTCCGATCATTCATCTCAAACTCCAGCCACTAACCACTTCCACTCTACCACTACTCACCCTTCCACCATTGGTCAATTCTATACCTCTCTCCCGCTACCCGCTACTCTGCACACCTGTCGTCACCACCCCCTCCCTCGATTGTCTTATAGTCTATTGGTAAACCGAATCAAGAGTGAATCCCAAATCTCACCATGTCCATCGTTCTCTACCCACCACCCACCCGATTCCCACTCTCCCCCTCCCCTTCCCCTCCCGTGTCTCAATCATCCACTCCAACTCCAACTCTGGCAGAACGAAAACTCCCTCTTCCATCATCCAGACCTTCCACCCCTCCTCCCACTATGAACCTCGCTCCTATCTCCGCCCCACCCACACCTGTCACTCCCACTCATCTCTTCTCTCCCTCTCAGTCCAAAGCCATGGAAAGATGCAGATCTTCCGAGGCGCGTCTCACCACTGACTCCACTCAATCGGCTGTAGTGGGACGTTCAGGCAGAGGGACACAGATCAAAGCTACTTCCTTGTTGTTCAAATCGGTCCCGAGTAGGGAACAGATCGCCGCCACTGAGAAGAATGAGACAGGGGATGAGATCCACGTGTCGAGCATGGGGAGCGATGCGGATCAGAAGATGGAAGTTGATCAACAAACAAAGAAGGAGATGGAGAACAAGCAAGGAGGACAAATGGAAGGTGAGGATGATGAAAAAGAACAGATTTGGGGAATGCCAAAGTGGGGTTGGGAGGAAGAAAGAAAACAAATTCGACCTGGTGTGAGGCTCATAAGTGCGAAAGAGGTCAGTGATTTGACTGTTCTCAACCTTTGCCTCACCCCCATCACCTCCTGTTACCTCGCTCTCCCCGATATGTTACTTATCCACTCATTCCCATCTACATCCACTTCGTCACTCCACCATAATGGCTCATCAATTCATCCGTTTTGGAAATGATGGAAAACACAGGAACAAACTGACACATCAGTTACCAGTTTTGGTCGATCAACACGCCATGATCGATACCCCCAGTCACGTCCTCTTTCCATGGTTACACGGCATCTCAGACGACGGTGCCAAAGGAAGAGACATGGCCGCCTTTTTCGGACATTTCCCTCCTTTCGCCCCTCCACCATATCGAGGATTATGTGTTCTACTTTGTCCTCCTCATCCTCTTGACAGATCTCAGCGTCCATCGAAAGTACCTTCAGGGAAATCACAATCTTCCCGGTCTTCGGATCTTGATCTTGGATCTAACGAATCTTCTAATTTCCCATCGGAGACGGCACCCGCTCGGAACAGAAGTGAGACGGTATCCACTTCTTCCGAATCTTGGGCTTCTTCTGCAGGAACCACCGAAGGAACCTCACCCTCCATAGCCGATTGGGTACCACCATCTCAGTCTCTTCTCAAGCCATCTGACTCTGTCCCACCTACCCCTACTTCGCCTAGTCCATTCACTGAAATCATCAAGAATGTATCGACAGAAATCACCGTGGAGACGGACAATGTGGACGTCGCTATGCACCCTTGTGAATCTAAAAAGGTCTTATCCGCCGCTCTAGCTCAAGGATTGGGAGAGACCCATCATCCTCTTCCTTGTGGTGGTTCGCCGTGCGAAACAGATTCGGAGACCGATGAAGCGGAAGATCAAGGTCCGTCTTGTGTCCTTCTCAATTCTTTACATGTCCAAGACATCTTCGATCTCCCAACTATGACAAAAACCCAGCGTGAAGAACGTGGGAAATGTGTCAGATCTCGATTTAGGTCAACCATACCAGCTGGAACTGCACCCCCAAGGCCAAGGTTCAAACCAGCGAGATTACCGCAACAAATCAATTTGCGTAATTTGAATATACAACAGATCAAATATGCTACTATCAGCGATATCATTATATACGCGAAAGGAGGGTTGGGACATGGGGTATTGGAGGTTGCGGAACAGATCGCTTTGGCTCAACATGATCTGTGGCAGCAACGGATGGAAGGGTATTATCGTTCTCATGGTCAAGGTCAGGGGGAGGGATTTGGTGAACCAGTCAGGTATGGTGTTTGGATCGTAGTTGGTGAGTCGCTTTCTGCGGTCGTCATCCACAAATCTTCATCGATGCTGTTTCTTTTCGTTCTCTTTTCATCCCTAGTTTCATTCAGACTCTGACCTCTGTCCTTCATCGTGTTTCATCATGTATCCATTTTCATCTGCATTCCCACCGTCGTCCTGGCATCGTTTCTTTGTGATGATAGCTGCATTTTTAAAGATGCTGATGACGTGACAGAACCTTTTGACAAGATTCAAGAAACTTGTCCTCATCTGGTCAATTTGGACTACCACGGTCGATCTACACCCAACTCCGCTCTGACTGATCTCTTCGCCAGAGAGGCGATAGAAAGTCGAGCTATGACCCGCGGATCCGAAGTTGTGGAAGGGTTCTGGGTCGGGAACAACTGTGACGTTCCCGGTGGAGCTGAAGATGGAATCGGGTCTCAAATCCAGTTCGATTTATGTGTCCATACTTCAGAACTTGCTGAAATGCCAACTTCATCTCAACTCACCGCTGCATATCGAAAATTACTCGACTTGGATAAATCACGTCGGTCTGAAGATTCCTCAAATTCATGGACTTCATCACCAGCTACCATAGCTCTTCGAAATCTTCTCTCTCCTTCATCTTCTTCTTTAACCCCTTCTTCATCTCCTGCTATTTCCTCGGTCAATGATGTAGGATCAAAACGTAACGCATCCCCTTCAGATGAAGGTTCCACTCGTCAACGTCGATCAAAAACTTCAAACCACGAATATGTTTCTTTGGAATGTTCCGATTCTTGTCGTTCTCCTCATGGTCTCAATCGGAATTTAACCATTATGGTGGATAAAATCGTCGAGCTCGTTTATTTTCTTCGGAAAATCATTGAAGGTAGAGATAAATCAGGTATCAAAAGAAAAGTTTTAATTCATTGTCAAGATGGTTATACCGAATCGAGTATACTCGTTTTGAGTTATATAATGTCTTCACTTGAAATTTGTTTACCTGAAGCTTATCTTTATCTTCAAAACGTTGCAAATAGATCTTTCTTTTTGTATCCGACGGATAAACCTTTATTGAGGAAGATTGATGATAGGTTGAAGAGTGATAGAAGGACAAAATTGATAAGACTTTCTATGGAAAGTCAAATCTCAACCGGAGAAAAAACGAATTCACCAAATAGTTTAGCCAGATGGAAACAATGGTCATTAGGATTAAGTCCAAGTCCTACTAAAAATCAAATTCCAAACTCTTCACCAAATTCACCTATTCGTACGAATTTTTCACAGATGACTCCTTTGAAATTATCTCATGTCAAAAAGCAATCGACACCTACCAATCCAACTATCACACCTGATCCTACGATCCAATCTAATCTCATCAACCAAAGTAATCATACGACTCCTATGAACCAAAATATCATTGTCCACGAAAATGGAAATGGTAATGGACATGGGGACGATGAAACAAAGTCACATGTATGGTTTCATGATCCTCGATTCGATTGTTTCCCATCTCGTATCCTTCCATTCCTCTATCTAGGAAATCTAGAACATGCGGGAAACGCTTCTCTCTTACATGCGTTAGGTATAACCCATGTGGTTTCCGTAGGTGAAAGTCTTATTCAATGTGAAGAAGGTTTTGATCCTATACATGGTAAAGTTGGAAACACTTTATGTGATGAAGCTAAATCTGGGAGGATACAAGTTTTAGATCTTTGTGATATAAGGGATGATGGGAATGATCCTTTGAGACCTTTGATTGCTAGAGCTTGTGAATGGATTGAGGATGCTAGGGTTAATGGTGGTAAAGTTTTGGTACATTGTGTGAGTTTTGGAGAATTCAATTTCGTCGCCTCAATCAGTCCTCCTATCTTTTATCCCGTAATTCAACTTCGCTCCTTTCTTTCGTCACTATCATACCCCTTATTTCACTAACATATCTCTTTATCCACTATTATATCTACCTGTTCACCATCATATCTCCTTATTCATCATCATCTCTCCTTATCCACCATCATCTCTCCTTATCCACCATCATCTACCATCATACCTCTCTGTCCACTGTCATATCTCTTTATCATCATTTTCCATCCTGTTCTTGTTCAAGTTCGAACACGTGTCACACCTCAAGACACTCACTCACCTGTGGTATGAAGTTTGTAGAAGATAACTAACTCTTAGCGCGTCGGTGTCTCTCGATCAGCTTCGATAGTCATGGCATATATAATGCAACATCAAAAAATAGGACTCATGGATGCTTATCTCCTCACTCGAGCTAGGAGATTAAACGTTTTGATTCAACCGAATTTACGTTTTTTCCATGAGTTGTTCGGATGGGAAGTGGAATTGGCTAGGAGGGAAGGTGATGAGAGGAGGATATTATATTCTTGGCCTAGTTTTTGTAGGGATTTAGTGAGTTGTCATATCTCTTCGCTTGTCATTTTCTCTCTTTCTCCCTTCTATACATTCTCTCTGTCTTGATCCCTTCCCTCCTTCCTTATTCCCTCATCTGCCTTTATGTCCTCCTCCCTCCCCTCCTTCCTTATATGCTGCCCTTCGTGTTTTCCTCTCTCCTTCCCCTTATCATCGACTTTCTCTGAAATCATACTTCGATCTCGGTTCGCTGACGACGTAGCATTGTCTCAACCGACGATTCTTGTGCAATTGAACATTCCATCTTCCTCCCTGCTCATCTTGATTGGTGAGCTACATCCCCCATACGAAGATGGTATTGTCTGGACTGAAGGGTTTTTGTGTGACTCAACGTACTTTACATGTCACTATACATTGTGACTGATTGGTACGGATTTGGTCCTGATCCCAATGGAGCCGTGGACTCGTGGATAGGTTGGAGATGGACGAAAATATTTTCCTGCTATGTAATGGGTTACAAACTAAGTATGGTTGTAAAGTCTTTTTTCTGTATTTTTGTAAAGATATGACATGCAATGAGGGTTTTGTCAAGTGTCTTCTTGTTGGTATGCTATATATTTCTCAGAGAGTGTTCTCTATTGGGGTATATGAAAGACGGAAAACCTAAGTCAGGAAACACCTAACAAATCTTCAAGAACCTTGTTCAGGTCCATTACCAACAAATATAATTAGAATGATGATGAACTTCAGTCCATCCACATGGTATGTAGATATACAAACATAACCTACTCATACACGTTGAGTAACGCTATGAGAATAATCACAACACTACTCATGTCACCGAAAAAAGCAATAAGATGATAAGACCAGAAATCAATCGATTCATCTATTTGAATTTACCAATCACGAAAAACGATCTACTATAGAAATAAAGAGAAAACCCCAAATGATACAAATTATCTAAGCAATTACTCCACCATCTTTCTCTTTCTCTTTCTTCCCTACCGATTTCCTCAAAGAACGTTCAGCTCGACATTGTCGCCATGAAGGACCATAATGAGCAGCTATGAATGGGATTGGAATACCAGCTATACAAAGTCCTGAGAAAAGTACGAATGTCCATCCTGCGTTGATTTTACGATAAATGATTTGAATGACGGCTGTTCCTACTGCTCCGAATAAACATCGGACCAAGTTGAGCTGATGTCAGTGGGTGTGAACTTTTATTTTGTCATTATGATTTTTAATTTTTAGTTTTTTTGGGGGGTGGGTGGGACATGTGACTTGATAAGATATGAGATGAGGAAATGAGACAAAGAAAGGAATGCTCACAGAAGCAGAGACTGCACCACCTTGACCAGGTTTAAGATCTTGACCATATACAGTTGCAGTGTTTATAGTACCTGTACCTAATCCTACGAAAAAGTTGACCACTAACGTAGCGGCGAGAGGAGCTTTGGCTTCTAGACACCAGCCCAAAGCAGTGGCAGCTACGATAAATAATCTGAGGGTGAGTCGTGAGGACGTAACGGGAAAGAAGAGGTATCAAATGACAGTAAACCGATGGAAACGGAATGGAGGTACAGGCATAGGACGGGTAGAGGATAGGTGAAGAACATGTTGGTCTCGAATCATAAAGGTGTAGGATTGGAAAGTGAATATGTCGGGTTGTTGACTGATACCGCGCATGACGAGGGGGAGCACATGAAAGGAGTAAACAGTAAAGTGAGATAGAAAGGTAAAGGGCAGAGGAGAATAAGACGGATTTATAAACACTCACGCCATGAAAGGTATAATACACCTTAATCTAGTATATTCAATCTTAAATTCTTCTCCTTTTTTCCTATAATCTCCTCCTACACGACGTTCCTCACGACGATAATAATAATCTATCTGTCTTCCATTCAACAGAGAAGAACAAACTGAACCGATACCAGAAGGTCTATTCATCAATCTTTCCAGTCACCAAAAAAGTCAACCTGGTAGAACTTACAAATAACAAAGACCGATTTTCAATTCTGATAGACCGTAGGAATCTTTGAGTGCCGTAGAATAAACAGTCAAATTGTTGTAAAATTCGACATAGAGGAGAGATACGAATATGAAGACTAATAGGATTTCAGGTGTGAGGAGGATGATGAATGCTGAGAGGGGTTCATACTGTATGTCAGGTCTTGTCTAATTCAATCGCTCCATTCCCAAAGATGAGGAGAAAGAAAGGAAGAGGCGACTTGAGTAATGTGTGTCTGTGGACGTACAGTAGCTTGGGGTAAGACGTAGACTCACTTTCTTTCTTGGAGGCCTTTCGATATGTTCTTCAGGGGCCAAATCATCGTTTGCCTTTTGCATCCTTCGACGTTGTAGTAATACTCCTGGAGAACAATTGAGTGCTGGAGGTGGGATGGAACCATCGCCTACTAAACTACGAAGAGTTTCTGGTAGGAAACTTACATGAGCTTGGTTTTTTCACTCGGCTGCTTGCTCAGATGAGGAGAACAAGAGTGTGGAAGGAGACTGCTCAGAAGGCGCACGGAACATGCTTGTTTTTGAAGATGAAAGAGGTATGGGAGCAATTGAGTACTCGAGAGATAAATAGAGTAACAGAGAAGACAAAGGAGAAGAGAATGAAAGAAGTGGAGAGGATAACTCACAAAATGAGAGGAACCAACACAACTCCTGTGGCAATTGTCAAAAACCAAAAAATACTTCTCCATCCTAATGTCTGCGCCAAAACTCCTCCTAACAGGGGTCCAAAGGCAGGCCCAATCACTGCGCCAGCTTGAAAGAAACCAAAATATCGACCTCGTTCACGAGGTTCTGCAATATCGGAAATACATCCTGCTCCTATGGAGATCACTGCTGAACCTCCTGTTGCCTTAAAATATCAGCGTGTCCCTTCAATCTTCTTCAAAAGTACCGGAGAGGGGGAAGGAGGAGACTGTACTCACCTGAAGCATACGAAGAACCAATAAACCAGCATAAGAAGAAGTCGGTACCAAAGCCAATCCGATATTAGCAGCCATATATAAAATCAATGTCCCAATATAAACCGGTCTTCGACCTATTGAATCGCTCATACTTCCAAAGAAACTAGGTGTGATAGCTTGAAATATCAAATAAACAGTAACACCTAAACTGAGATCTTGTTCTGACCTTCCGAATTTCTCGGCGAGGACAGGTATGGCAGGTACGTAAATGTTTGAAGAGATGGGCGAGAAAATAGCGGATATAGCTCCTAGGACGACGATTAGGATTTTGGTGCGTCTTGAGAAAGCAGAATAGGGTCTAGTAGAAGCTGATGTCATAGCTCTAGTGATGGGTGGGAAGTTTGAATCGGGTAAAAGTCGAGGTGAGATTGGGGGTTCGGATGGGTTGACAGGTTCGTCTTGAGAAGACGACTTTTCATCGTGAATCAAGGGCGTCTCGTGTTGAGAAGAGGGTTGTTCAGTGGAGTAAGATATTGATTGTTTGGTATGAAGGGATTGCTGTATGTCTGGTGATGACGGGGAGGAGAAGGATGTGTTATTGGGATTTGAAAGTGTTTGAGCGGTAAGATCGGGAGAAAGGTCTATATTTGGATTACCTGAAGTGTTTCTGATATCGGCCGATGTATCTTTGCCCGATGAAGAAGTGGCTGGTACATCTGTTGAGGGGTTGGGTTCTGTGACGGTAGATGGAAGGAGAGATGCCATTGTCGCCTGCGTATGAACGGAGGAAGGACAAGAAAGAAGGAAGGTTAGAGAGACCATCTTGTTACTTATGTACCTTCGTCACTTTTGATCGCTCTTGCCCGAATCGGCCGAATTGGATTTCGGCCGAACGTCACGTGATTTCCGTCAAACCACCGGACTTTGATAGGTTATTGGCGTATGAAGCGCCGACATGCAAGAAATGCCGCATGTAGCAACGTAGACCATATGTATGTTGAACATTGCACTGTAAGTGTGAGCGTGTATGTATATGAACTGCTACTGTCTACCGTTTCGTACTCATCGAGTCACCAGCGGTCCGTGAGAACACAACGCCGATAAATCCGGAGATCTAATTTAGAGGTTGAGGTTTTCTGCCCCGGCCACATTGATGGGTTCCTGCATGTGCATAAAACAACAGAGAGGACAATGCATATGCAACATTCGAACGTACACTTGTGACAAGGATCACCCAGAATTCAATTAATTCTCCCTATCTTTCGGCTCAATTTTCAGTGTGTGTTGAGCTTGATGACGCGATAGGGAAAGCACCACGGGACAAAACATGGAGAGTGAAAACTTTCCAAGGGTAGAGAAAGAAGATTGGAGTAAGAGCGAGGAACGGCATTTCCGTGATGATCTAGAGGTCCGTCTTAGGCTTTGATTCGTCTACGTTGGATTGGGAAGAGTTCGAAGCTGCCAATTGAGATAATTGACTTGATATACCCATTGGTTTTTGTCTGTAAATCAGTTCTCTATCAATTCTCTGAACTCCACTTTATCCACGTCGAATTAGATGGATGTCATGGGAGTGAGACAGAGACCCACTTTGGTTGAAAATGACGTTGTTTCGCTCCACTCAATTTGGCAGAACATGGACTGAGGACATTATCTGTCGGACTGACTATCGATCTGATGATCAGTATGACCATACTACGGTTTCGAACATCTTCTCTCTTGAACGATGTTTCTATGAGAAGAAAGTACGAGAGATGTACGATGGATGATCAGTGATATGTGGTATAATAAACTCACGATCCTCCCTTGGCCAAAAAACCTTTTTTAGCTAATAAACCCGCGCCTTTGGGTATCCCCATAAACTTTTGTTGAGGGTCGGCCATACCGGTTTGAGCTATGATTATCAGTCATTGCATGATCGATTGAGAGTGTCTGACTGACCGTTAGGATCTGAGTTCTGGAGAGGGACGGTGGGGTTGGACATGATCGTGAAGAATTGCTCGCTCGTCGGTCGTTGAGGTGGAGACTACAGGTACTATCGGGGGCTAGTCGAAAGAGGGAATAAAAAGCATTCACGTTGAATGATGTGGAGTATTTCTGCAGGTCATTTTATGTTATTTCTCCCGTGGCCCCGTGGCGGGATGACGGCATGGTAAGTAGCATGGTGGCAGAATAAGCCAAGTACTATCATCGGCATCGTGCAGCATGCAGCAGTGGAAGAGATGAGTAGAATGGGCATGTATGAGATTCATATGAATAGCATGCACTACGCAGTCATGCAGCATGCAGCTTATCAGTCTCCGGACAGACGGCGTACATATTTACGGCGATGACTTTTGGCTGTGCATTCTTCAGCCCCACCTGGTGTTTCCATTTTCAGTCGTTACTTACCTACTTTGCCTCACTACCATATCGACTCATCGACCCATCGACCCATCGTCTCTTCTCATCCATACACTCATAACATGATCCATTCTCTAATCTACTTCATTTGAACAATCACCCTCCATCCGAAACCCATCGACACCCACGATCCCACGATCCCACCATGATATCCCTTTCTCACCTTCGCACTTTATGCAAAAGACACATCTCCTTCATCGGTCCAGGTCTAGTATCTTCCGTCGCATACATCGATCCCGGTAACTGGGCCACCGATCTACAAGCTGGTGCATTGTACGGATACAAACTTCTTTTCATCGTTCTACTAGCTGGTTTAGCTGCTGTGGTACTTCAACTTCTCTCCGTACGTCTAGGTGCGGTATCGGGTAGATCTTTAGCTACAAATACGAGATTGTTATTTGAAAGATTACAAGTCAAGTATCCTAGATGGAGACTTGGGTGGAAATTGGGATTGTGGACGTTGTATGGATTAGCAGAGATCGCTGTGGTTGCTTGTGATTTAGCAGAGTTGATAGGTAGTGCGGTGGCTTTGAATCTGTCAGTGAATCTCATTACTCTCTTCCCATCGTATATCCCATCTCCAGATAAACACTCTTATTCTGTTTTCGATGAATATTCAATATCTTGAGAGGTCATCAAAACATCCCACCAAACGTCCGCAATTCGTTCACGGTCTATCCTTCAGACCTATATTTTTGGCTCCCCCCCACATCACTAAATACTTTGTCTCATACATTCATACAGTCACACCCCTCCCTTTGTTGTCATTTCCCATCGATGGAGGTGATAAGGCGAGTTCATAATGGAACACGCTGACCATCAGACTCTTCCCCCGCCTACCCCTTTGGGCCGGAGTTCTCATTACAGCATTCGATGTCCTCATTATACTCATCTTCTTTAGCTCTTCTTCCGGTCGTCGTGGCATGCTGTTCTTCGAAATCTTAATCGTCACATTGGTTTTGGCAGTTTTCATATCATTCATGATCCTCCTTCATCTCATTCATCCTTCATGGCCGGATGTATTCTACGGTCTAATCCCTTCCCACACTCTCGTCGAACCGGGTGCATTATACGTCGGAGTTGGTATAATCGGAGCTACAGTCATGCCACACGCTTTATTCTTAGGTAGTGAACTTGCCGGTGTAGATCGTCTCGGAATGGTACCCCGACCACCTGAACCATTAAAACAAACTTTCAAAATTCCTAAATTCACTTTCGGTGGGATTCGTCGACGACTTACAGCGAAATCTTTCAGAGAACCGGAAATAGAAAATGTGAATATACCTCGTCAACCTGGTGGTCATTTAGATCTTTCAAGTCAACCTCTTTCTCCAACGATGAGAAATATAGAAAGTATGGAAAGTATAGAAGGATTATCAAGATTTTCAACATTAGAAGATGAAGAAGAAAAGAAGAAATACGAAATGAAATTAAGATCATTCGATAGGATAAAATGGGTCGATATACATTTATTCCATACTGCCATCGACACAACTTTATCTTTATTAGGTTTCGCTTTGACTATCAATGCGGCTATTCTTACTTTGGCAGGAGCTGTATATTTTTATGGAACATCGGGAATACCAGCTTCTGATGCAGATCTTCAAGGAGCTCATGATATAATCAATGATTATATTGGGAAAGCTCCGGCGATTATATTTGCTTTGGCTTTGTTATGTGCAGGTCAAAGTGCTAGTATAACTGCAACACTGGCAGGACAAGTGGTCAGTGAGGGATTTATCAATTGGCATACACCTGTGAGTTTAGTCGTTCCAACTTATCATCTCATCTCCCAAATATCTCTTGATCCTTCGCCCTCTCAACACCCGCCTTTCCTCGTCGTGTATATTTCTTCTTCATCAAGAGCAGTATAAAAAGTATCAGGACATATCTGACCTTAGCCATTTGCAAGAAGACTTATCACTCGTCTGATCGGAGTAGTACCAGCTGCTATCGTAGCAGCAGCCATCGGTCCTAAAGGTCTCAACACCATGTTGGTAGCATCACAAGTAGTCCTTTCTATCGTTTTACCTACCGTCATCTTTCCCTTGGTATTTCTCTGTTCGAAAGAAGACGTCATGACTGTCCTCGGACCTATCAATTCGGATCATCCCGATCAAATCTATTCAAAGAGTCCTTCTTTCTCATCTCCATCGACAAACCCTAGTAAACCGGATTCAGTAACCCTTCCATCTTCCACGCCCATTTATCCTACCCAATCTATCGATATCTTAACCGAGACCACCACAGAGAATACCGTTCAAGGGCTTTCTCAAGAAGAGATCCAACCTGTCTCAAGTCCTCGTCCCGTAATAGAATCATCATCGGATCTGAAAGATGGTCCCGGGGTGGAAATCACTATCACCGATATAGAGAGGAAGACGAAAAGTTACAAGAGTCCAATATGGGTCACGATCTTAGGATACTTTTTGTTCGGCGTGGTTGTGGTGGCTAATGTGTATGTGATTGTGGAGCTTGGTTTGGGACAGGATTAGACTTTCCATCGGTCTTCCTCAGCTGTGTCTTCTCTGCATTGAGTGACTCTTCCATTCGAAGTCGATAATTCGGGTTACCGGGGGAGGGAAGGAAAGCAATGAGACCGGGACGATCTAAAGGTGGACGGTTTGAAACACAGATATATAACATTTGTTTGCTTGTTGTACTTTAATGCTTTGTATGCTAGCGATGCATACAGCATACTATATACTACTCTACCTTCTAACCAAGTCATACGATCCGATCGAATATGACAAACTACGCCTTACGGACCATAAGAAATCATTACCTGTCACTCTGTCACGCTGTCACGGTAAAAGGTGATTTGGACGTAGAGGAAGGAAGAAGCCACAAAAACGTCAGTCCAACCCATCCTTTCTTTCTTCTTTCACTCTCAACCATCTCAATCTATCTTAAACGCATCTATCTTCGGTAAACTCAAAAACAAGCACATCGAGACGATCCTCTTTACCCCACTGAGAACTTCATAAGAAAAGAAGAGATAAGAGAAGAAGGAAACTAATCGAATCGAATCGAACATGTCCACAGAAGATATAATCTCAAGTTTGTTCGTAGTCGCTCTTTTGGCCATTTTGATCAGATGGTGGTCTAAACCTAGTAAGTTAGGTTTTCCACTTTCTCCAGGTCAATCTTCACATATACATACCGAGTATTGTATATCGTCATTTTGAGAATCTCATTGGTAAAATGGAGTAATGTTTTGTGAGATCATGATCATCTTTCTTGGTTGCCACCCTATTCAATCATCATATTCCTCTGCATTTGTGTTTGCTCCTCGAGTTTGTTACTGCTCATTTGGAAATTCTATGCTTCTACTCTATGGTTCCATGATTGAGCACTACATATCTCATTTACTGGAGTCAAGTAGTCACACGATCACGTCTCATGGATCATGGGATTGTTCCATATGTGGCCTTCAACCATGTTCGATCTCATGTTTCCACTCTTTCCTTCTTCCTCCTCGGTCTCCCTCTCACTCCTGCTCCACTTTCAAACTTCTGTCCGAGTCATCTGTTTCTTAATACGAAGCTAGATGACCGTTCCAACCATATATATTCAAATTATCATCACACAACCCACTTTCCCAAAGACCTACGGGCATGTCACATATGTACATCCCACTTTCAACTTAATATTTTCCGAGTATTATCATTTTGTGAACGATCATGTTAATATCCAGAAACTTCCGCTCAGACTCAAGCCACGAGAAATGTCACTCCTGCTATGGTACGTCCTCCCCACTCCGTCTTCCCCATCCCCAATCTCAAATACCTCGTCTTCCCCCATCTCACAATCTACAATTACGAGCCAATATGTGGTCTTGTGGGGATTTTTGCGATGGTGGTGTTGTAAGAGTAGACGTAAGAACTCGTTAAAAAAGAGATGGAGAATTGTGGATTTTACAAAATGTTGTATTAATTGGATCAGGTCGAAAGTGTTCACTCGACTTTTCCTCATATACAAAAGAAAGATATCATTTGGTCTTTATCCAAAACAGGTTCCGCACAAGCTACAAGTGAAGAGATTTTAGAGAAGGGTTTTTTACCTTCTGTGAGTTAATCTCTCCCATAATATTCCCTTTCACCCTCTGCAGAGCTCCGTGCTACTTAATCCAGGCGTAAATCGGAAATTTCCCTACATCTGGTGGAGAGAGATGTGGGATGTTTCTGATATTTTAGGCCCCAGCATCATTCCAACCTCCTCCTTCTCTCCTTCCTCTTGATCCGAATCCCGTTCATGTTGCCCCACAAAAGATATCGGAGAATCACAAGACACCTTCTCTGATAGAGAAATACGGTTTAGCTTCTAGATTACCTTCGAGGAAAGGGAAAGAGAAAGCGGACCTTTCCCCGGTCATGGAGAATGGAAATGAAAAGGGACTCGGAGCGGGAGTGGGAGTGGGGATGGGAGTAGGGGGAAAGTGGGAAGATACAAGGGAGAAAAGAGAAAGAGAATTGAGAGAGAGGAAAGAGAGGATGATCCTTGAGGCTAGAAGGTGGGTTTTTGGATCTTCCTCATGTTTCTCTTCATATCTTTAGAGTATCTTCAAAGTAATGTCGTTCCCTCAGAACATTCTTCACCCTATTCCATATTGGCCTCGTGTTCATCTTGATCGTAATGAAATTCAACGGGAGGTAGGCGCTACTGTCTTTCTCGTTAGACAGAATTGTTTGCGGACTGAATCGAGGAAGAGATAGTTTGCCTCACTAAAAAGTGGGAGATGAAGCTGATGAACAGACGTTTGCTAGAATCGCAATCACGGCAATAGTTTCACAAGCTCTTTCCCTCTGTCATCTTATTGTCGGTTGCTTAGAGAGATTCATGCATCTACTTATTGTATTCTATGCTGTCTATGACTATCGCTAGCTTGTTCTTGAAAATCAACTTCACTCAAATGCCTGATGTCCGATCTCAATCTACTTTCTCAAAAGTACCAAAACAAGATGATATGTACTGTATTGCTACCAGCTCCGACGTCTCTCCGCTTGCTGTCGGTTGTAAAGATGGATTCAATATCCCATGAGACGATTCATCATCTCTAACCTAGGTCCTAATTGTCTTATCACCTCGTCACCGACATTAGCCACAGCGAATCTGACATTCAGCTTTTAGTCCTACTTTCATTTTCCCCACCCTTCCATCGCGTCACTCAAGCTGTATGTTTCCTCTTCTCTCCTCTCCTCACTACATTATCTCATCACTAACCTCGAGATTTCTTAATACTGACAGACGTACCCGTGAAACCTCGAAATCTCTCATTGCCAACAAGTCGTACCCAAAAAAAGAGACATAAGAAGGAAGGAGAAGGGGAAAAAAGGGATGATCTCGAACTGACCGTATCCATTTATCCCCTTTCAACAACTCGGCCCCTTCTTCCCACCGTTCATCCAAAGAAGGCATGAAAAAACTTCCAGGAAGAGTAACAACTCCACATTCTTCAGCCAATAACCGGGATACAATCTCACTACCTATTTTACCCTGTGTATCTCTTCGCGGGAGATAAGATGGGAATTCGACATATGCAAAGAATCCACCATGGGACATGACCTTCCATCCTTTTACAGCTTGGACGGTAGGGACGAATAGATCCATCCGGTTTTTCAGAGATATTCGGGAGTTGGAAATATCTTTTCTCAGTGATGGAAGAAGAGGAGCTAAAGCTAGTTGAGGAGGACGTGGTGGACATATCTAGACAATCAACGCTTATCACAAATCTCCTGAGTGATTGAATTTGATCTTCATCTCTTTGTCGCAGCATGACACATGGATAAGTGGATCGATGGGTAGTCTGGTGAATGGGGAGAAAATCTCCTCTTGTGCAGCACAAGAAAGGTAGAGGTTTGTTCCTTGATAGATGAAGGGGGAAAAGGGGGGGGGCGGAAATGAGGAGGACTCACTTGCATACAATCGCATATTGTGGCGATACGTTTTAGTAGGTAAGGATTTGCGATGATAGTACCCAATCTATGCCCTGGGATTCTGTATCCCTCTATTTATCAACTCGCCGTTCTCCTCATCATCTCTTGAAAACCCATTGACCACGACATATTTGCGGCCTATCCGAGTGCAGTTTGCGCATGGTGTAACTAGCTAAGGACAGACAGTATTCAAGTACAGGCACGAATAAGTGAATGAATGTTCAATCGATGATAGGAATCAGGTGGTCTGAGAGTGGCGAAGAGGGTGGGTATTGGTGTGAAGGAAATCAACAAACTTACTACTGAAACTACCTAAACTGACCAAAGTCTCTCTCCAATCTTCCAACTCAAACAAATTATGAGGTACACCATCCACAAAATCCTTATAAGTCTCATCTATGATCAAAGCCACTTTCCATTCTTTAGCTAAATCATACCAATCTTTCAATTCTTCCGGACTGTACGTAGCCCCCGTAGGATTATTAGGACTGACGAGTACTATAGCTTTTATGGGTTCGATTTCAGATTGTTTTTCCAACGATTTTCTAGCTTCTTTTAGAGAAGGTCGAAATTCATTTTCAGGTAAAGATGGAATGAAAATAGGTTTAACGGAATGAAGTGATAATGACATTGTATGATTGAAATATGATGGTAATGGTAGTAAGATTGATGATTTGAAAGGTGTACAAAGTGTATGAAGAAGGACTATGAAAGCCATATTACATCCTACTGTTATACCGACATCTTCCCATGTTATCCCCCCCTTTCCGAACTTTGAATCCGATGTTGGAAAGGAATCAATTGGATTTCCTTCGTGGTTGATGTTGGAGTGTATTTGGTCGTTGTACAGGTTGGAGTGTATTTCGTCGTTGTTGAGGTTGGAGTGTATTTCGTCATTCTTCAACTCTGAGTGCAATTTATCTTGGTTATACACCGAGGAAGAGGATGGAAGAGAATAACGATGATTGGTTTCGATAGCTACAGCTTCACGGAGTACACGTTCACCGAGTATATCACCATATCGAGCTGCTTGAGGATCTGAAGAAGTTTCAGAAAGTCGGGAAAGAAGAGAAGGATGAGGTGGATCACCAGGAACACCTTGAGAGAGGTTTAGTAATGGTCCAGGTGAAATGTTTTGTTCAGAAGGATGAGAAGAGAGGTATGTTTGACCCCATGCTGCTGCAAGAGGTATACTAGGTATCAATATAGTCTACCTATCACATGTACACTTATCAACTGTCCTTAGTTGTGTAAGGGGAAGTCAGTATTTTTGGCACAGCGATTTGAACTTTCATCGAATGACGAGGGACTGTCAAGGGGGAATATGGAACATGTAGAAGACTCACGGGGGAGGAGCGGTAGCTTCTACCTCTTGTGCGATTTGAAAGTTGAGAGTGGTCATATCGTACTCTTACAGTGAGTACAATACCTCGCTCGTGATGAAACAACAGCAAGTGTCTACTTCATAGCGGAAATCTAAACCAAGTGTCACTCTCGGCCGTACTAACATCTATCGGCCTCGGCCGAAAGCGGGTGAGGGTTAGGGCTTTACCTCGGTCCTACTTGTCTCTCTACAGGTATCATTCCCCCTCTTACAGTCTCTCCACCAATCAGACGGTCACCAAAAACGATTCAAAAGGTAAGCATGTTTTTAATCATTGACAAAAATGCCAAAAAAAACAGAAAATGAAACGTACTTTTCCTTTAGCTTCCAGCATTTTCGGTCGATTAAGTGACCATTCTGGAAATTGTGGAGGTTTGACAAGGGGTAAAAAGTTGAAGGATGCTCATCCTTTCAGTTCTTTGTCTAAGCCTATATCATTTCAACCTGAAAACTTGAAATCATATTTTCGTATTGGAACATTCACATCACTACGTACGAACATCAGTCATTTTCATCGAACAATGTCTTCTGAAAAAGGTGGGTAAAACATCTCATTCCCTTTCTATCTTTCCGTCATTCTACCTGTTGGCACCTTGGCTATTTTTGGCACTAAGCCATATCATGTCGTGCCATGTAGTATGAGAAGATGAGACGTGGATAGAAAGTTTGGAGAGTAGATGGAATATACTGTATGACTGATATCAACAGCCTGTTGCACTCTTCCTCCTGCTGAAGCGGAGTATACTCCTAAAGGGTCATACGAAACTCTCGCAGGGTTGAAAACATATGTCGTCGGTCCTGATTTAGATAAAGCGAAAGGAGCCGTATTGTGCGTTTACGACATTTTCGGTTTCTCCCCTCAGATCTTGCAAGGTGAGTAATGGTTCTTCACCATCTTCTTGAGTCCTATCTATCATGTTCTTTCTTTTCGCTCACTTTGTTGACTCATGTTTGATCCTATATCTACTCTTTTCGTGACACTTCCTACAAGCCATTGTTTTCTAAGGGGAAGGGAGTTGGAGGGAAAAGGGAGGGATGTTCAGTATATTGAAAACTTTGGTTCTCAGCGTGGAAATAAGGGAATGGACGTATCAAAGCCATGTGGAGGAAGGATCTGACAAACAGGAGCAGACTTGCTTTCCGCAGGTGGATTCAAAGTATACATGCCTGATTTCTGTGCTGGAGAATATGCCACGGCAGAAATGTTCAGTGGTACTCCAGAGTATGTCTTACTTCCTTTCCCCCCCGTTCCTTCCCTCTTCCCTCTTTCCTGTACAGTATTTCTCATTTCGTTCCCCTATATCGCGTTCCTCTTACGCCAAAGTGCTCCATCTCAGTCTTGTTCCTCTTAACAGACTTTGAGAATCCCATCCTTACGCTTCGAGAGTATCCCCCTTCTGTCACTTTACATCCCCACCAAAACCAATATTCCTCTTTGGTCCATCTTACAATACAGCTGAACCCTTTGAACCATTCGAGTATCTGAGTAAGACTGATGATCAGGGGAAACGCACAAAAAGCAAAATACTTTGGTGGTTTTCCCGGAAGAGTAGATTCTCAATCCAAGCCCGTCGCCGACACTGTCAAAGCTCTTAAAGAATTAGGGTTCAAAAGTATCGGAGGAGTGGGTTATTGTTGGGGTTACAAATGTTTGGTCGTAAGTGAAGGAGCTGGATTGTTCCATGCTATTGTCGGAGCTCATCCTTCGTCAGTACTATACCACAATGACTCATTTCAATGATTGAAGAGCTGATGGGATAAGATTCGCAGCGGTGACTGATGCCGACCCAATTTCTTCTCCTCTCTTACTTCTTCCGAGTCAGGCGGAGGATATCGAAGTGGTGAGTTTTCTATCTCCTGTATGTCCCTCATCAACAATTTGGACTTTTCGTATCGGGAATTTCGTCCTTGTTGATATTGGTGTGGATCTCGTTCTTGATGATTTGGTCAAAAGTTAAATTAAGTGGATTTTGACTGAAATATAGATGAACGCCATTGCTGAATCTGTCAACGCTAGACTTCCTGGTAAAGCCTCTGTTAAAGCTTACCCAGAATCAGTACATGGTTTCGCTGCTGCTCGTGCTAACGTGGGTCAATATTTCTTTCCCACAGACTTCACATCACTTCTGCTTCCCTCCGATTCCGTAGGCGCAAGCTCTCTTCCTTGCACTTTCACATCTACACCTACACAACGCCTTTCCTTCTCCCGGTCCCAGTTGGAGACTAGCTACTATCCCTCCATTTCCGCCAAATGTGAGAGGTTGATGATGATGGGGAATCTTTGGGGACCTTTGAGGCTACATGTCGACTCGCGAGACTAACGACACAGTTGCACAACGAAGTGGAAAAGGCCAAGTTCCACGAAGCATATACCGACATGGTGGACTTTTTCTGTGCCAATCTCTGATTCTGGCTCAGATTATCATATGGCAGAGTAACATCTAAATAGAGTACCATGAGACCAGAAGGAAAGAGAAATAGGGTACATGCATAGATAGAGGGGTATACAGGATAAAAATATTTCAAGGCACTGCCTTTTGGATCAAAACACCAGATTCAAGACACAAGTCTAATGATTAGTGATATGTTCGTCTCATATCATTCCTCTTCTTTCTTCATACGTAATTGCGGCGTGAGGGAGATAGTAGTTTCAGGATAAAGTAGGAGCCTCAAGAGTAGGTGCACTGCTGGGAATGCGTGATAGGCGATATCTAGACGAAGAACGATGAGGAACATACAAAAAAGTAACGTTCATTTAGGAGCAGAGGTGATATCTCGCATAGCGGTCAAAGCACTTGTCAAGCCCGCTGGTTTACCCCTGAGTATCAGCTGAATTCTCGCATTCGCAACAACTAGTTTGAATACACGAACGATATGAAGTGTAATTGACGCCACTCGGCGTCGGTTTTAGGCTTCAGAAGAACAGAGAATGAGTAAAGGTATGAGAGGATCTTCATGAAAATCAGGGATCAAGCGATGAAAGGTTCACTCACTTTGCGAAATGACGTTGTTTAGCACCTGCCAATTTGGCTGTGATAGGTGATTGTAAAGCGTCGGTGGGTGAGATGGTAGATTTACTGTGAATCAATCTTTCATTCTGTTTGAAATCATTTCATCGTCTCGCCCTCCCGTCAGGAGCTGGAATCAAACATCATTGTTGAGACGTATACATGATCCAGAAATCGATATCTCCCACTTTATGTAACAACCTCAAGTAGTTACATCCTACGCAATGGACCTGTCGATAACTGGCAAGCGGGAGGAGGGTCAAGATGCTGGAATTGACAGTAGCTAGCAGGAGGGGAAATGAAGAGGTTGTTTTTGGAAGGCGATAATTGTTAAAAGAAGACTCACTTGGCTTTAGCAAACTTTTTCGCTAATAAAGCTTTTTGTCCTAATCCCACTACACCACCATGTAAAGTTGGTTCTGTCGTTTGACCGGGAACCACTGGGTTTGCTGATGGTCAATAAACACTCATCCATTTATCTCTTTGCCTCAACGAAGTTCTGCGTTGACTGATCCGCTCCTCCACATCCCAGATGGATGGCCAAGGCTCATTCACGGATCTCGAATATTGCGAATCACCGGGCACCCTCAATCAGCCTAAAAACCTGATCTCACGCTGTCATCGCATCTTCTAGGAATCTCCAGGTTGACCTTGTTTACCGTGGCATCCGATGAAGGGATGACGTTGACGTTTAGGACACGAAAGAAGATAATAACGCATGACCCCCATACCAGTACTCATACCCTATGATACTCAAATGTTTGTGGAACCACCATGACAAAGATGACATCGTCCAACATCATCCTTCAAACAACTCGCTTTCCGAAGTCCTTTTCACCTTATCCAAACCACCAACCCAAAACAATGAGAAAGACTGAAGTAGACACGTAAAAGAAAAATAACAAAGAAGATATGATGGAGACTCACGATTCACAGCACCTAAAGGTTTATGTAATTGCATTACCTTTGCTTCTCTCTTCGGATCGTGCAAAGGGGTGATGTTTGGTGAAGGTAATGGTGTACCCTGACCGGAACTTGGAGCAGAAGATTCGCCTGACATCGTGTTGGACTTGATCAGATTTGGTTTCGGTACTCTTTCTTTTATCTGTGGACGTGGGGTGTGATGTACTTGTCTGCGAGTAGTATGGTGAGGAGTGAGAAGTGAACAGGTGGTGGCAAGGTGATGGATTGTTGAGGGGAGATGGGATGTTGAGGGATTCCCTACTGATGGGGAAATCAGCCGCGTCCACTTGGTGGCGAGATGTTTATCCGGTCCCCCCCCTGTAGGCTCCTTGGGAGGGCAGCATTGCAGCATGAACAGAGTGAATTATGCTCGAGCATAGCAAGACGGCCAGAAGAAGATATATGCATTCACCAACCAAGTCTACATCATCTATGAGTGATCATCTCGGGCTACTCATCACCGACCTTGTTGTCCTGGACTTTCTGATCCGCCGCGTCACTGACAACGCCTTTACCGGGAAGGACCATTGTGAGTGGAAGGTGGGTAAGTGGAGGTAAGAGGGCGGCAGCGGCTTGACGAGCATTTTGTTGGAGTAACATGCTGTCTGTCAGCGAAGATTTGACTTGATGAGTGAACTGCATAGACAGTAATGCTTGGCCGAGTTGTATCAATCCGTGTTGTGATAGTCATGGATAACCGAAGGAGAATTGAGGATGGAGGGAGGACTTTTATGCAAGTCGGAAGGAATCAAACTCACTCCATGATAACCAAAGCGGACATGGTCTCTACTATGGGTACAGCGCGAGGTACGACACAAGGATCATGTCGCCCTTTGGCAGCCAAGACACCGGCGGATCCATCGTACCTTGCCGTAGACTGTTCTTGGGCGATCGTAGCAGGTGGTTTAAACCCGACCCTATACCGTCAATGACTGTCCAGCCGTCTCTAGATCCATCGAGTTGTCATCTCGATCCCAAAAGGAACGAACATTACAAACTCGGCTGATGATTGCAGTTCAATCAACTTCAGAGCATCGCACGGTCGAGGAGATGAGTGAGAGAATCGACAAAAAGAACTCGCCTAAAGTAGATATCCTCTCCATTACTTATCCCACCCTGTACTCCTCCACTCCAGTTGGTACTCGTTCTCAACACTTTCTCACCTTTACTGTCCACCCCTTCAATCCAAGGATCATTATGTTCACTCCCGTGAAACATCGTTCCTCTCAGACCTGAACCGATTTCGAAAGACTTGGTGGAAGGGATACTGAGCATTGCATGAGCTAACATAGCTTCTAACTTGTCGAAAGCTGGTTCGCCTAGACCAGGAGGACAATTACGTATGACGCAGGTGATCAGACCTCCGAGAGAGTCATTAGCAGCTTTGGACGTGCGGATTGCCTGTATGCTCAGTGATGTACGCCAGGCCGTCATTTTTGTCCTTCATGTCATAGGGGAATTCATTCAGGCACTGTTTCCCGTCTAAAATTCTTTGCCCGAATCACAAATGAAGCACGGCGACATAGATACTGAGAGAAGCAGTATGAGGCACAATGAGATGGGTAAGTAGACAAGGGACAGGAAGATACACTCACCTCTTCCATTTTCATACTGGTCTCTTTATGTGGACATCTAGTGATTTCTTTATCTACCTGATCCCTTTTCACACTTTTGACCAAATCCATATATTCTTTCCCCAAAACCTCATTATCATCCTCAGCGAATGGTATTCCAACTTTTCCTACCCTCTGAACGAACGCCACGATCTCAATGCCGTAACATTCCAGTAGATATTTCTCCGCTATAGCTCCAGCCGCTACTCTCCCGATGGTTTCTCTAGCGGAAGCACGTCCACCACCAGAAGAAGCTTTTACTCCGTATTTCGCGAGATAGGTGTAATCTGCGTGAGAAGGACGAGGATAAGAATCTGTTTCTGCGTAATCATGTGGTCTTTGATCTTTGTTAAGCACTAATAGAGAGATAGGTGTTCCGAGAGTGACACCGTGTTCACAACCGGATTGGAGGTGTACGGTGTCGAATTCGCTCCTCTATGCGATCAGTATTTGTCTTTCTTCAGGCCTCCCGTGTTGCAAGATGGCAGCCATCATCGATACCAAGTCTCCATACGGAGCCGCCTCGCACTGTACAATTTACTAAGCTTCAAGTGTGTACCTGTTTGGTATCGCGCCCGTCATCCCCATCGTATTGGTAATAGATCGGTGCTTGGACAGTGAGGAATGGTAATAATGTCGTCAGAAATGAAGACAGTTGTACTCACAGCAGTGGTGATATCACTTTGACCAGGTCTCCTTCTAGACAATTGAACTTGTATATCTTCCTCTGTCAACTTCAACCCCTAAGCCATCAGCACAAGCACGTGGGTAATTGCTCCCTTCCTCTCATTCATCGGTGAAGGGAGACTCACAGGAGGTACACCGTCCACGATACAGCCGACGGATTTACAATGACTCTCGCCGTAGGTATGTACTCTAAACAATTTCCCGAAAGACGACATGACTTGTAGACTGACACTTTTACCAAAGAAAAAGTAAATGTTAGGTGAAGAAAGTGGACGTTTTTGACTGGGGAAAAGTTGTTGAAGCGAGTCAGAACCGTGCCTGTATCCTGAGCGGACAACGCCGCTAAAGTTTCCTTCACCAAGGTCAATTGAGTACAAGAGTCTAGTACTTGGTCGAGGAATAATCGTCTCCCCGTTCTAAAGTACAGAGCACAGCAGGCAGGCCTAGGCAGGACCGCACCAGAAAGAACGAAAAGCTTTGGGAACATGCCCCCGAAAAGACGTAACAAGACAAGACAGACGTATGACGATGGGGAAGAAGTCATCGGAGGACAAGTACTGCCCATCGCTGAAATAGCAGAAGATTGGGTCGGAGTGCCGGAAGATGGAGCTACTTATCTTGCTCTAGCTGGGTGAGTCTCGATCTCTACCTCTTCTGTTTTGTATTCCATACATAAACTTTTGACGTCCGAAAGATCGACTGGCAATGTCATGACCAAGTCTTGTGACAGTGGCGAAGGGACGAGAATATCTGTGGAGAGAATGAAGCAGTAGACGTTGGCTGATGACCAGTCGTGCAAATGCAGGATTATCATTCTTTTCTCGTGCTCCGTTACCTCGAGAGATAGATGTGAATGTGGAGACGGAAATCCACATCGAAGCTAGTCATGTAGGAACGAGCAAGAAAACTAGACATCCTGCTTTACCTAAAGAATCTTGGTTGGTGACTTTTGCAGAACATTTCAAGAAATATCGTCAGGTCAGTGAAATCACCCCCTTTTATACTCTCTCCTACTGTCTTATTCTCCTCTGCCAAAACATGGGTATATACACACATAGACTGGAATACCAAGCCCGACGGATACTCTATTATTGGAGTAGAAACACATTTAAACATAGTGCTGATTCTTGAGAACCTCACCTCCCGCTGGCCACCTCCATCTATGACTCAACCTCCGCACTATCCCCCATTCCCAGATATCCGACTCCGCTCATCGTTCGACTTTTACCTTCACGGTCCTTCCAGGGCTAAACGAAAAGGTTCGAGGGCGAGAAAACGGGCAGCGGTCCGAGCGGCAGCTATAAGTTTGGAAGAGGAAGAAAGTATGATGAATGATGGTGTTCCCATTTCAGACGTTACAGCCGAAGTCAGGACATCAGATCAAATATCAGGAATGTCTACGGGGGGTTCTGGGGAGAAAAATGAGGAGGAGGAGGATGGAGGTTTTGATGAAGATTTGGAAGAGGAGTATGAAGTGATAGATGAGGGGACGGAAGAGTCACAGACTATTAGTCAAGAGGAAGAAGGAGAGGATAAACCATATGAACCACCAGAACCGCTCTTGAGCGTTTTGAAGGGTTTACATACAGTGCGTCTCTTCTATGCTTCTTCACATTTCCACTCTTGCCTCTACATTCCCGCTCTTTGTCTTTGACTATCCACTTCATCCCAACGCGTATATGCACATTCAAAGATACTTTCCCTACTAACGCTGTTCGAAAGATTTACAGTGTGCATCACCTTCCTGCAAACTGTGACAAGCTAATGAACAGAATAACATCTTACGTCTCTTAACATACTTTACTCACTTCCTTCTTGATCCACTCTCTTCTCCAATCTTATCAATTCCTTCTTATCTTCCTACTCAACCTCCTTCACCTCCAACCCAACCTCAAACAATTCTTCCTGAACAACCCCACACAACTCTTCCCGATAATACCTCCACCTCCCATACCCCAAACTCGACCCACTACCCAGCGAAAAAGACAGGAACACTCTCGAAGCCAAGACGAGAACCATTTCCCGATTTATACGCCAGATGGATCTTCACCCTCTTGCTCATTCTCGACAATCAATTATCAGGTGAAGAAATATCCATCCTCCGTGAATTAGCACGTGCGGCGATGAAAGTAGCTGGTTGGCGTTGGATCGTAGCTGTTAACACTGGGGAAATCACAAAGCTTGTTTCTGTCTCTCCCACCTTCCACCCTTCAACTGATGGTTCTGAAGGGGGTAAGAATGGTGTGATAGTGGGTGATACATATCAAGAAGGTGAAATAAGTGATGAGGAGGAAGATGAAGGATGGGAATTAGGTGTTAAATGGAAGAAAACCCGAGAGAAGGGTTTGAAACATAAAGAGATGAATGGTCATTCTGATATTGATATGAATGGTGGTACCGACTCAGATGAGCAAAATGGAGGGCGGAAGGATGAAGTGATAAAGGAGGACTCGTCGAAAAAGAGAGAAGGTGGGAATGTCGATGATACTTTATCAAGATGTTGGTTAATCGTCGCTGCTATTTCGGTCGGATGGGCACAACATGATTTATTACAAGAGATGGAGTCTTTGTTTTCATAGATCTCTTCGTCCCACATTGTGCATGCATTGTGTATACAGTATGATATATATCAAATTGCCCACTGGATAAGAAACATTACACTACTTTTACAATCATGAGCAGACATCTTTCAATTGAGTGGACCTTGTTCATCCGGAACCTTTGATCTGGGTTGAAAGATGATCGAAAGAACCAATGAGAAAGAAGAAGATGCATCCATACACCTGCATTCTATGCTACGGCCAAAATGGCAAAATACAACAATGAATCAATGCCACTTATTGCCCAAACCCATGCGAGCCAATGTGATGGAAATATTGGTTTGTTTTCTTCCTCTGAACCTGATTCTCACCCATTTAACCCTTCACCCTCCACCTCCTTGTCACCTTCCAGGTCCCAAATTTGTCCTCCATTCCCACTTCACCATTCATTCATAGACGTCGACTTCCCACGCTCATTCCGTCACCAACTTTGTGAGGTCTCCATGAGAGTCCCGGTATTCCTCTCGGTGGTATTTCTCCCATTCACTTGCATTCTCTTCTTCCTCCTACTGTTCTCACTCTCTTGATTACACGTACGATTCCAGGGACGATGGCCAGAAGATCGGCTACGATCGTATGACGCGTGACCACCGATTTCACGCCGATTGAGGGGTTTGATCCGAGTACGCCACATATGTAATAATGATTTCAAGTAAAGGGCTCAAAAGAAAAGATAATCGGTAAAGGTCCGACTACGCATGTTCGCTCAACCTCGTTCGAAGAAGGTTCAACAACCAATCCTGATCCCAATCATCCACTCCTCTTCCCATCTCCATCTCCATCTCCCATCTCGTAGGATGTATCTTATTTGTCGGTACCATACTCGATCGTCTCGGTACTGAAAGAGACTGATTTCGAGTATCATGCGCATCATCTCCGAATGGTCCAATTTTTTCATCAACACTCAAAGGGTCAGTTGACCCAGCATCCCGTAATTTTGTAGTGATCCTCGAGCCAATGATTTCAGTAGCAGATTGAAGCGTAGGATGACCGTTGTCGGAAATGATTGGAGAGGGGAAAGCATATTCTCCAAATATCGGTGAGACATGAGGTTTCACTACCAGCTGTCCGATTCCATCTCGATCTTCTATGTTTGAGGAATTTGAAGAAGAGTCCGGAAACTCAAATTGAACCTTACTTGGTCTCCTGATTGTTTCACCACCATGATCCCACACTCCAGCCGCCAATTCAGCTTTTCTGAGAGCTTCTATCCTGGGTCCTATGACACAGGCGTTTTGCGCTCTGAATAAGTTGAACGGCAGCCACTTGTCGATGAAAGTGTTGATGGCTGGATCGTAGTGCGCGTAGAATATGATTAGATAAGGTGGCGTGTAGCCTGGTAATCTTGAAGACTGACCGGGAGTGAGAGGGATGAGAGATGGATAAAGGGTGAGTCGGGGGAGTATATGCTGCATGTCGTCTGAAGATAGCAAGGTGTCAAGCATGGGAATGAGGGCGCGTTCTATCAAGCGAAGAAGCTTGTCCAACCGACTTGACGAATCATGAGACAGTTGAGAGCTTTTGGAATCTTGCGGGTATTTTGTTTGTATATTTCTTGCTATCAAACTCAAGAGGGTCATTCCGGATAGACGACGCAATAATCCTCCAATTTCTTCGGGTCTAGAGATGATCAGATTATTATCGCTGGAGCTAGAGGAAGTAGTGGATGCCGATGACGTTGTGGAGACTATTTGACCGATTTCCCTCATCGGTAATTGTGATCGATTGTCTTCCTCCAACATGATACGCAGACCGTCAAACGGAGTAGCTTGAACGATGGCTACGCCAGTGTACAAAGTCGCAGGCTTGACAGTGACAGACATGGTCGAGTGTGCAAATGTCTTGATTCCTTCCAATAAAGGCAGTGTGTCATCCAATGTCACGGAGAGGGTTTTGACCAAAGCGGAGGCCACAGCGTTAGCGTCTGCGAATATGAATTGTCTTGACACCAGATCGGACCGTTCGGCGGAAGAAGTTATTCGTCGGACGAGAAAGACCAGTTGTCCTTTTGAAATGGTATCTGTGCTATCGGGCAACTTGACCCATCCAGTAGACAAGATTTGATCGTATAACACCCCAACTCTGGAGATCCCATCTCTTCTACCAGTCATCTTGACAGCCAGGTCCGAAGCGGCAGACGAAAACTTCTCGACAAATTTAATCACGCTGGCTCGACTTTGTCCACTGTCTGTGGTCGACAACGAGACGGATTGAGACATCGAAGCAGTTGTACTTGCTGATGATCCTCTTCTTTCCGGCTGACTGGTCACACTAACGCTGGGAATTCGAGTGGGCCAATGAAAAGTCGTGCCATTCCTCCACGACCAACTGAGTTTGACAGCCTGAACGAACGCTTCGTGACCGATGGAAAGATCCAGACCGAGTACGGTGGAATCATTTGACCAGGTAGAGAAGCTCGTCTTGCCTTTTCGTTTGCTGCTACGACCGGTTTCAGGAGCGAGACTGGCGATATCACACATGGGCAAGAGACCGTCTATGGAGCTGACAAGTATCCGATCGTGGTCATCGATACCCACGATCGCAACAACGACACGACGACGTCTTTCCCGTTCTCGTTTGAGACGATACGAATCGACCACGAGAAATCCGATACAGGCAAGGCAAGTCATGCACGCTAAAGCGATGACGATTCCGACAATTCCAGCGTTGACACCGGTCAACACTCGATGAGAGCTGATACGTCTGTCGACGGGCCAGGCATAAACAGTTCCCATCGTACCTGTCATCAGCCAAGCCCGTGTAAGAACCGGGGGATGACTCACCACAAAAGTGCATCATTGTCACCGCTGCGGCTAGGACAAATGCGACTCCAAGTTTGGACAACCACGTGTGTTTGAGCTTGGGCCGAAGCATAACGAACATAATATACAAGGCGATGATGACAGCGCCGCTGGCGATAATGACAGATCCGATGACATATTCGACCATGTATCCGATATAAGGCATGCCGACGATGGAACATTGTCCGATGTAGTCTATCAAAATCAGTGTCATTTCTTGTCAAATTTGCATCCTGGTCGTCGGTGGTGGCCATGAAAATGGGATGGAGGGAGGTGAGGAACGAAGGGTTACAGGATGAGGCAGAATGTCCTATGACTTACGCATTCCAGCTACTCCCCAGCCTGCAACGAAACCGCATGCCAAGATCTTCATCAAATCCGTACGGGTGACCACGTCCAACCCGAAGAACTGGGCTGTACGACTATGCTTCTTTGCTTTGTGACGCTCAGAAGATACTTGTTGCGGCTCTTGTATGACCCCCTGATCCAAGTCTCCTGTCATGGAATCTGAAGAACTCGTACTCAAAGGTGGTGTTGCTTTAGGAGATCCTGCCATTCCCTTCTCCAACAGCTCAATGTCATACTCTGGTTCCGGAAGACTTTGTATGCGTGCCAAAGGGCCCGCCGAACGGAGATAATTTTGCCGTGAATTCCTGCTGAATGCCGAGACCGGTAAAGATGCCCTCCGACGGGAGTTGTATGCGGCGGTTGGCGTATCGAATGGTACAGCGGAATCATACGAACGTCTGGGTGACAAGAGAGGTGCGGAGTGTGGAGGTTCCTCAATATCGGCAGAGGATGAAGCGAACGGCGAGCTGAATATGGGACTCGGGGAGGCGGCGTACTTCGTTACAGTGTCTGAAACGTGACGAATGGGAGGGGGTCGTCTGGCGGTTGTTGGAGGCAGAAACGGAAGACGAGAACCGACAGAGGAAGAACGGTCCGTGGCAGAGAGGTTACTTGCGAAACTGGGATAATCTCGACTAGCGTCTGAGCCAGGGTCATGAACACGCTCCTTCCCCCTTCGATCCAGCTCTGCCTCGACGCCAGACTTCCCCAAACGGAATTCAATCTCGGCTAGGGTCCCATCTTTGGCAATCAAAACATCCAGGCCCGTTTGATTTCCCGATTCTTCCGGCTTGTCTTCAGCTGCAATCATTTTTTCATCCCGACCACCAGCCTTACTTGTTTTGCGAGAGGTGCCCGACGGATCGCCCGGACTTCCACTATCCAACAGTGTCCAGGACATGAGCTTTCCGCTTTGCCTGACGATTGACCTGGTCTCCGAGCGTGATTGAGAGCTGGGCTGTCTGGCGTGCTTCCAGTTATTATACTCGTCCGCTACTTCCGGTGTTGCGTTGACGTTCGGATGACGGTTAAGAAAATGAAGTTTCATCCAACGTTTGATGTTGGCCCAGGAGAATTCGAACGCCATGAAGAAGAAAGAGAGTGTCATAGCTGCCCAGCTGGCTACAAGGGAGAGGATGGAGTAAAGCCAGTCATATGAGAGATAAATGGCGGGAAAGCCTTCTGCCACTTCGTCAGGGTGATGAAGAGATAGAGCGTTGTTAAAAATGAAGTGCATGGAGAAAGTCGATACCGCACCGAAGGAGAAGCCGGCCATGAGTAGAAGAACGATGTTCCGGAGTCCTCTAGTGGTGGTACGTCGTACCAATAGTTCGAGGGTGACTAGTGCTCCGCAAGTCGCGATGGTGTAGGCTACAACGACGAGGTACCATTTAAACTGTCGCTGAAGGACGACATAATCGTCCGGGACATGGTACATGGAACCAAAACGTCGGCGAAGAAAGTGGATTGTGGGTTGACCGTATCTTTGAACCGGCATCGTATCAAGCAGAGGTTTACTGGACATAAAGGAGGATGGTTCGAACATGTCGGCTGAGGTGTAAGGTGTCAAAAATGGTGGTGATCGACCCCAGGATGGAAGGGAGTCGAGCAGTGGAGGATTCAGTCGTAGAGGTATAGGAAATGCGGCGGTGACGTAGGGAAGACAGATGATGACGAAGTGGAATGCTGTCCGACGAGGGCTTCTCCGGCGTAGGGCTCTACGAGGACGAGTGGTGGACAGAGTTGGTGGGAGAGAAGGAGGACAAAGAGGTAAGCGTGAGGATGAAGCGTGAGAGGTGCAGGGGTAGTCCATGGTCGAGGGTATTCACAGTCTCGAGGAATGTGACTGATGAAGTATCAGCGTCTGTCTCGTGGTAGAAGGTCGTGAGACGTCATTCTTTAACAACTGAGCAGTCATCTTGAGAGAAGGGGGGAGGCTTTGCTTATAGAGAGTAAATCAAGCGACGGGACATGTGACGGTCGAACGGACAAGATGGTGAAAAAGTGGTTCAAGATCGTGGTCTGAAGCTCACACGATCAAAAGGTATGCTGACATCCACCTTGTCTTCCCCACCAGAGATACCGCGATCGGGGTCTTGTATCGTTTTGCTCTCCTGTTTCCCTCCCTCTCGGATCTCCTGACTGGTGATTATAGTCGACGGTGTGACGGAACACCGATCGGGATGGCTCAAGGATGACATGACATCAAGACGTGATGACGTGAAAAGATGATTTTGGGGAAAGTGTAAATGAGTGACTAGCTGATGAGCTGCGCTAGAGTAACTGCGCCTGACCTGTTGTCATTTGATCGAAATGGGTGTGTCGAGGCTAGTGGCTAGTGGCGTGGTGGGGAATGCAGGAATGACCGTTAGACCTTGTCTCGGCTCACTGATCGACGGCGTCAAAGGTACCCCTTTCCTACCACTTTAAGAATCGATGGATCGGGCTGATCCGACGAGTACGGCGATCGGTCAAGCGGAGAGCGGAGAGCGAAGGGCAGGGTGAGAAGGAGAGGTCACGATGGGTATGATTCACCGCCACGATGAAGTTGATCGCCGGTGGTAAGTTGGAGAATGAAAAGTGGAATGTAATCTATCAAATGTTCCTCGGGTATTGGTTTTTTTTTTTTGATGAAGCTTATGAAAGCAATGCCGGCTCAGAATCGGTCTAGCTTTCCCTACTCGGTCGAGTAATGATCCCTACGCACCATGTGACAGCTCGACAGCTCGATATTCTCAACTCGGTGTGTCACTATGCAATGTTTTCGGTGATTGACACAGAAGTCGCAGAGAAGAAGTGTTGTGAGATTACTGCGCGAGCACACCCGATGGCTGGCTGGTTGGTCGGTCGGGTGTCGGTCAATCGCCTCGATCGTCTCACAGACGAGATGGAGTGGTTGTGAGTCAGTGCTGTATTTAAGTGGTGGACAGAGAAGCAGAGGGAAGATCGAGATGACAATGAACTACTTTTCCCCACACATGATTCAAAGATCAAAGACCTCTGAAGGACCAGGGAAGGAGCGAGGAGGGACTTGATGTAAGATGTTTGTCGGTTCTTCGGTCAAAGGGCAAAAAACCGTCCAAAAGGTAAATTGGGTTCGAACGATCGAGCGAAACCCTGAGAGTATTACGTGGCCACCGCGTCCCTCAAACGCCGGCCCCGGAGGTGATTCCAGCAACCCGGCAACTTTACCGCCAACCTAAACGTTAACCGTTTTCATTTCTGGCCCAAGTCGTTGATGCATCAAAGCATCTTTGGACAAGTCTCGGGTCTCTCTGTCATGGGAAGAAGATGCGATGGAAGATGTTTGGTCTCATGTCCTCGAGGCAAGGAGTGAAGGATTGATCGGCAGTGGCGCGTGGTGGGGGAAGTCGTCCTTCGGGTTCTTCCGACTGAAACTGGGGCAGGTCTTCTTGCATCCAAGATAAAACGGAGAGAGAGTCATTGGGTCGATTCAACAGGGGTTTACATAGATTGGGTGATTCACGGATGTTGGATTGATTGAGTGGGAGAGGATGAGACAGAGAGGAACCCCGATACAGATATCGTATCCAAGGTCGCAGACGGATATCTATGCTAGCAATTGGTGTACTGTACGAGTGGTGTAGGGAAGGAAGGACCGTGTGCGACAGGGCGTAGAAGAGGATGAAACCGCTCCAAGATCGATGAATAGACGTCGGGGCACGCGGGCACGTGTACTCGCACTCCCACTTGGCCATACCAAGAGGTAAGTGCCAATCCGCAGTCGACTTATGTTGTACGTTTCTCAAGTTTTTGGAATGCAGTGGATCGCGTACGGGCTCGTGAAAGAGCATCTGTTTTCAGGTATAGTCTCACCGAGTGATGAGATTACGAAGAGTGTGGGAGGGACGCGAAAGTGGCAATTGATAAAAGTGGCACTTGGCCTGAAGCGGTCCACCCTCAGACCTCCAGATTAATGGATCCGTGTACACACACAGATCTATGATATAGACTTCTGTCAAACAATGGCAATTAGACATGACAATGAAGTCTTCTATGTACCCCTATAGCATAATCTTTTGATCATCTAGACAGTGCTCCCTTGTTATACTCCATCTCTTCTTTGCTTCCGGGAAGAAACCTGACATCATGAAATGGACAAGATTGCACTGCCTGCGGGGTAGTGTGGTGACATTCCATCAGGTTTTGGGGTAGGTACACCCAAATCACGATCAAGTCCCAAGGTTCCGGAGGTGTTAGACTGCTTAGGCATACTCACTCCATGCATCATCAAAAAGTCCCAACCATTCACCCTCAATGGTGGAAATGTTGCCATAACGATTCTCTCTTGGAGAGCCTGTAGCACTCCTGGCGGACAGTGCCGATAGTGTTCGGAAAGGGTGGGGTCAGATGACACCAACGGTTGAGCTTCTGGAAGGTGGTGACAAGGAAGCAACGATTCATTCGCTCTCTTCCACTGTGGACGCCTCGGCGTTGAACCTGAGAATCTCGGGTCTGTGTGTAACGGTACTGGAAACACGACGACTAAGTCGCAGGTTGGGTCGAACTCGATGGATGTCTCGTGGAAATCTAGGGGCTCTGGTGCTAATGAATCGTGTCTCCTCTGCAATCGATGTAGCCAAAGAATGATATTGAAGAATCAGCAAAGTTGGTACTTTGCTGATTGTACTATATACTGTCTACGGATATCCTCGTCCTTGTCCTCTTCCTGCTGCAAGCGTCTACGTACATACTCGGACAGGTGAAAAACCGCTTTGAGCAAACCCAGTGGGGAAAATCTCGAAAGGGGAAAACCCGTCCCTACCTACTGCAGCACTGCCTCCAACTCCCGCTTTTCTCTGTCCTAATCTGTCGAACTCGATAGAGTCCTCTCAATTCGTTGTTACCCCGTAACACTGTGCTTGGACGCTATCTTCAACAACATCTCCAATGCTTTTCTAGCGGCGAGTTCTGCTTGCTCTGGTGTCTCATGCCTATATACCTCCCCTTCAGCCGCCAGGAATGTCACTTCTTGCGTGTTTAGTCTTTGCAACAAGGTCAATGACGCTTCCGAGTTGTGTCTCGTCGAGATCATTCCATCGCTCAGAGACGACTGCAAGATCTCGTGCTCGCTCTGTTGGGCGTGTTGTTCCTGTTGGGTCAACAACTTACTGGTGTCGATACGATACAGCTGTAATACCATTAGTTTTACGATTGTTGTATCTAAAGTCCCCGACATCTGTGTGATATATGATCTCAACTGAGTGAGAGGTAATTGACTCGCTTCGGTTGGAGTCAACGCAATGGTTCTGTTCGTGTATGACGGGAGGGATGTATTCGAGATCATTATTCAAGATGTATAATATGTCCTAGGGCTTGAATGTATGACACCCATGTACCAAGAGACAGTATCAGTGGTGAATTATAAGAGGGTGATGGGGAGAGGGAAATACGCGCAGATCGTCGTTGATCGAAACACCGACGTTGAAGGGATTCACATTACCATTCATGTCAGATTTGGTTCAAATACTTCTCGGAGAACTTGGGTGGTTTAGGCGGGCTGAAGTCAATCACGAGAGAAAGGATGGAAAGTATCTATAGTAGACAGCGTCGTCGTTGTCCGACTTTCTCGGAACCCCACTACCATTTGCTCTTCCATGATCGGACCCCGGTTCCTCGCTCCTTGACGTGGGTTCCCTTTCCGAGCTTTGTCCTCCAGGTCATGCACTCAGGATGCTTGTCATCCTTCTTCAGTTCAGAGAAACTGTTATAAGACATGATCCGGCCGCAACGACTGAATAGTCAGTTCTACGTAAAACCTTTTCCTCTGTTCACTGTATCCGTTTGGCTTATCCTTTCCTAGACCGTATCTGAGTGCTGCAACCAGTACTCAGAGCGAGATCAGCTCTGGCTAGCAGAGTTTATCTTGAGCGTATCAGGACGCCATATGACAGGGAGCTCGCTACCCGGCCACGTTAGACATTCACCTATCATGTTGAAGTGCTACCAATGATTAGGATCATCAAAGGGCCGGTAATCACCGGAACACCTGATTCCTAAAAGGATGCATATGATTACGGTGCCTTGGGTGACTACCAGGTGACATGCAAGCAACACCCCAAAGGCTCCTGTGATGCTCGACTATTGCAGGCCTAGGAGAACTATAGGTGCAGTATGGTATTACGTGCGTAAGGGCCCCCGTATGAAATCATGGTCTGTCCTTCTGTCAGAGGAAGACCTTTGGAGTGGACTGGCAGGGTGGAGCGATTGGACCCACGAAGTAGCTCCGTGTCCACTTGTCGAAGTAGCGGTAGAATACGGAGCAGCTACACCCATTGCCGTGGTGACACGGGCTTTAGACCGAACAAGGCTATCACATAATCCAGTCGTGGGTAGGCTGCCAACAGTATGAGTGGCTGTTTCGTTGCTCGAGTAAGTAAAATGAGAAGGAGTGATGGAAAGAGGACACCTCGAGGTTGCGTTCGTTTCATTGGTTGACGGACATGATGACCCAAAGAGCAATCCGGACACTGGCAGCCCATCTGGTGTGCAGGACTTACCAGGATCCAACCCTAGGGAAACGAAATCTGCGTCCTGAATCTTAGCGGCGGCAGTCTGGAGGTCCTCCCAGTATGAAGCGTAATTTCTACGCTTTGTCTCTTTCTCTTCCCTTTCGCTGAAGATATCCATGGAGGCTATGTCAAGTTAGAATTGTAGCAGTGAAGTTTCAAGACCTACAAACAACAATACCTCTTGACATGGAAGACTTTTTATATACCTGTAGCAGAAGAAAGTAGGAGGATGATGATGACTCATGCCTTCAACTTCAATCATTCAATATTCGTCATCGATGACGCCAATTTCATGTTGATTGAAAGTCCGCGGTATTTCATCATTGAGACGACGTATCGTTTGAGTGGGGGCCAAGCTACAAGCATTCGGGGGAGGGGGATGAGAGGTAGTTGGAAGACGTTCTTCCCCTTTTGGGTCGAATTTCGGCGCTTGAAACCCAGTATTGGTGGAGTGGGAAGGGAAGCCCTCGTTATGACGCCTGGACCACCTGCGTGGCCTATGAGGTGAATCCTCTGAGCCTGCGTCATAGTATCACAACTACACGGGTCTCACCGGCGTCATACTCGATGTTCAGTACGTAGGATGGGTTCCGAGTCCTCCGAATGGGTTCCGTGCGCCACCACAAGCCAGCATCTCACTCGCGAGGCTCATAAGTGGGGACCCATACTCATTGAACATCACTTGAGTATCTTTCCTAGCTTGACTTCTCACCGATTTCCCAATTCTTTGTTCCCGCCGACTTTCAAATAGCTCTGTCATAGAAGATTTGCTTCGAGAGTTTTTCCAAACCCCATGGTCTATGACCAGTAATCTCAACCAACTTGGGTGATTCTATCTGTCGCTGGTACAAATCCAGCCGTCCCCTCAAATACCCAGAGCTGGCTAACGGGGAACTGGTAGGGAATGCATTGCAGAGCTTGGTTTCTGCATGTTTTCACATGCTACTTTAGCACTGCTTGTGAAGAGTGATCAAGCTCATCCGCAGCAATGGACTTGTACAAGATCAAGATCTTTGGTGCTTGCGTCAAGGTAGATAGCACCGGTTGTTTGATGCATCTAATCACAAGATTCTCCTGCAATGGGATAGCCACAGTTGGAGTGGAGAAGTAATTGAGGCTAAATAGCCAGTGAAGGTGCAGGATAGGAGGATAGAAGGCACATCAGGTTTAGGTGTGAGTTGCATTCTCATTTAAGCAATGGTTCTGCTTACTATCATTCCAAAGAAGTCCCCTGCATCCTCTCTGTATAACTCCCGCCCTCCTCTACCCCACTTTGTTGATCTGTGTGACTGTCGGAATTGCTCTTCAGACTTGAACAGCAAACTTGACCCATGAACTCTTTGAGACGATCAAATACAGTGGGCTTTGGCGGTTTTGTAGCAGTAGATGACTGCAGTCTTCTCAAGAGAGGTACAGCTGAAGGGCACTCTGAACGTCCAGTACCGCCTAAGCTAACTTCCGTAGGGTTGTCCACATTGGAGCTCAGAGGTTGTGCTTCCCTACTAGCTTCTTGCTCCTCTCTTGAATCTATGAAACTCCGGGGTTGACTTTCAGAATCATCCAAGCTCCTTGTTGAGTTTCCATTGGGGTCCCCATCATGGATCAAGGTTAAAGCTCGAAGCTCATCATCATGAATGCGTGGTGTTCCGGATGGCACATCTGGACTCACATCAGATGGAGAATTTGGGATATCATGAAAGTCTTGTGACGGCATCCTCAATAGTGGAAGAAAATAGATGATCAAAAATGGACATGATGAGACTTTATGCTTGACAAGAGGGTAAATTCTCCCCTCCCATACCCCTTTCCCGCGCTTTCGGAGACGATTCAAATCCCGCCGTGGGAATCGTTCAGACCGTTTTCCACCATGGATTTTGACCCGAAAAACCTCCCTTCCTTCCCTCCCCCTCCTACCCTCCCTCCTATCCTCTCAGGTAGATTCTACCAAGCATGACTTCACTCTCACGGTGGAGAACTATGATTTCCCATCGTCTCCCTCTAGGTATCAACCAGACAATTCCAAAGCGGATGGCCCCTTCCCATGGATAATCCAGGTCATACTCCCTGGTCCCCGCTTCCCACGGAATGCGGATGAGTCTAGTAGAAACTCGAACATCTCACAGGTCCTACAATGGATGCCATTAGACCGAGTTTCTCTACTGATAAGTAGAGAGAATCATCGATGTAGGGGCGGTAGTGCATTGGCTAGACAGGTCCGGGCGAGACGTCTCTAGACGTATGTCCCTTATCAACGGTGAGTGAGCCCGCAGATGTCAGGAGAAGTGTGTCAAGGACAGATCTGTTAGCCGATAGAATCGGGCCAGGACGGCCGAACCGCCGTTAGAATTACCCCTTCCGTTGAATATTTCTCCGTTCAACTTATCCTCTGAACTTTATTCGATCGTCTCTGGTTTTATGCGTGTGAGTGGAATGTGATAAGTATAGAGACATGTAGAATTGATGCATGCTCTTTTTCCCCTCTGTATTACCATCTAATTATCAGCAATCAAGATCGGCCATCTTCAGGACCTTTGGATATACTGTATGGAAGTGTATGAACTAAGAACTCTCAACTTCATGAGTCCGGGTTACTGATACTTCCAATCAGATCACGATTAAACCCATCTCAGCTTCCAAATTATGCAGTTGTGAGGGTGTAGACTCCTTGCCCCTTTCGTCTTCTATGACCTGGGAGAGGGGCTGAGATTGAATTGTGTGTTCCTAAACAGGTAGGTTGTCATGGTGAGTACTACTGCTCGTAGACAAATTGGTGACAGGGGAGCGGTGGGAGGAGCCGCGAAGTAAGTGCCTCAATGCAGCTCCGGAAGTTTTCTTCATAGAGTACGGAGTATCCGTCTCACCTCAGGCGTGAAAGACCTATCAGGGATTGAAGCACTATTGTCGTTCTGCAACTCCGTAGATGACTTGATTGGATCATCAGGTGGCGTTTGTTGGGATATGATGCGAATGCATAAAGAGAGAGAAAGCGGTAGCTAAGTTTCTACGGAACTAAATTGACCTATCGCCGATACGATGTTATCTCCGATACCTTCGACAGCGTTGGGGAGAATTCTTCAGAAAGTAAGGGTGCGAGGTCGGATGAGTCGGCACCGGAGTCCTTCCTGACGGAGGGTTTCAATCTGTTAAGCTCACTTCGTAGCCTGTTCAAGGTGCTCGTTCCGGAACCCATTGTTTGAGTGGTTGTCATTTCTTCACGAACTGAAAGATAAAAGAAAATGTTGGTTGGTTGGAGATGTTAGAAGCTTGCACTAGCTTAGTCAAGCGTGTGAAAGTCAGATCCTCGTTCATTGTCCGCATGCCGATCCTTTCAACCTGCCCTTTCCTCTCTTGAGTCAAATAGGAAGTCTTCCATGGAGACCAGTAAGTAAAAACATCAAGTGCTATGTAAGCAACTATGTAGTAGGGGGAACAGTGTGTTAGTATCCTCCTTGCACCTCTCGATTCCTCATGCATATCACCATGCTTTCAAGCTACTCATTTTCTACCCTCTCACCATTCAGTCACGACGTTCCCTGGAGGAAACAACACTTCCAGCCCCTGTGCATGTCTCCTTTATCCCCGAGTCGTCGAGAGTCTCCCTTGCGGCGATACTCTTGGAATCAGAGTCCGAAGGATTGTACAGCTCGGAGAGGCATCTGGCTTGTTTGGAACCGTGATCCTGGATGTAGTCCATGAGGAAGAGCATCTCGTGGCAGGTGACAGGCAGGGTTTGATTATCCTTAAGTTGGAGCGTCCACCCTCCAAAATTAAACCTCTGCATGTCAGCCACAGGGTTATGAAAAACAACGGGAACGTACGAAATGTAGGGCTTGTCCTGGGGATACCAAGGAAGTCAGAAACTCGGCTCGTTCTTGATTTACCGTTGATTTTGTCATGACCACGTGCGTCGAAGTTGCTAGTTCGGGTAATATCCAGTTACCCGCCACCGATAAACACTACCAGCCACCCTTATCTACATTACACTCTCATTCCATGTACATAAGGTAGTGCATAGCTTAGAACAACTTCGACGAATGTATCTTGTCTGTCTCAACATACAAGTTCTCTTATACATTTGCCAAAACTTATTATTCACTCCTCGAACTATTTGCTTCGATCCTCGTATCCTCTTACAACTAGTTCAAGTCCCTACAAGTAGCTCATCACCCTCGACGCAGATCCTTCGACCTTCGGTCTGGTCTTGACATAAGATACATTCGTCTAGCTTGTACCGACTTCTACGAGGTTGCTCTTCTAGTCCCGAACTGTAATCGCCCGACAATCTGAAAACAATGTCGAGCGTTCCCAATACTCCAGGTGGTCGGGTTACAAGGTTACACCCTGAGGGTAGTGTAGCCCCTACCACTCAAGGGGGGCAACAACCAGCCACCCCAGCGGTGGAAAACCCTGCCACCACCTCTACAAGTACCAATGCAATCCTTCAGGCTTTAGCTGGTCTAAACCAAAGGTTCGAGGAACAAAATCAGGAGATGGCTCGTCTACGTATACAGGTGCAGTCTCTCCAATCTGCTTCTCACGATGGAGGTTCAAATGAACCTCCCTCCCCAACCAGGACGGCCATCCCACCGCCTGGTTTCCGTCGCGAACTCCCCGCACATTTAGAGGGTCAATCCCTAGCTAATGCAAACGCGTTAGGCGTTCGAACCGGGGGGATCGATCGTCACTCCCAGTCCCCTGCCCCCGGCTCGGGATTTACTCTTCCCAAGTTACCCATGGCCAACCTGGAAAAGTTCAAGGGAGATCGAGGTAAACTTCCAGCTTTCATATCCCGTGCTAGAATGATGCTAGAGATGGCAGGCAACAATATGCTTCCAGAAGCACAGGTGCTCTGGATCGCCTCTCACTTGATAGAGGACGCCGGGGCATGGTGGGACGGTTATTTTTCAACACCGTCCGTCGAACGCCCGGGTTGGACCCGGGAACCAGAGGCTTTCTTCGCCGAACTCAAAAGAATTTACGGCGACCCAGATCGTCACCGTTATGCGGTTAACCAACTACGATCCATCAAGCAAGGTAAGGGCTCGGTCGCCACCTACTGGTCAAAGTTCACTGCCATTATTACTGAAGTACAGTGGGATGACAGGGCCAAGAAAGACGCGTTCGAAACCGGCCTTTCGGCCGAGATTCGAATTGCTATTGCAAACCGCGAGAATCAGCCGACTTCCCTTAGGGAGTTAGTGGACGCGGCAATCACAATTGATCGTCATTATTCCGGTATCCGCCAATCTATGGGTGGGTCAGACGATAAGTCGGGCTCCAACCCCAAGGACAACAACACCAGTCAACGTTCGAACTTCGAACGAAAGGGTTCGAACATCGACGGTAACAACAAACCTCCCTCTAAGACTGACCGCACAGGTAAAACAAAGTCTAGAGGACCTATTTCCGATGAGGAAAAGGAACGCCGAAGAAAAGAAAATCTTTGTATGTACTGTGGGGACCCGGGTCACACCGTACTGGTGTGCCCCAAGTCGAAGCAGTCGGGGCAGAGACCACCGTTCAAAAGCGATTCCCGCCCTATCAAGGTCAGAGCTATGACAGTTGAAGACGAAGAGATGATCTTCGAACTCAACGATTCGGGCTCGGACTCGTCTTCCCAGCCGGGAAACGAGTAGACCCACCTCCGAGCGACGAGCCCGGAGAGCCAGTGGGAACTTCTCGTCACATTTCATTTCTGGCTTTTAGAGTGTCTGATGATGTCCGTTTACAAACAGTTAAAACTACAAACACCAAAAAAAATATTAAAAATCAAATACCGTCGTCAAACCCCTCGCTTCGAGGGGCGGATTCTCCTTCCAGCCTGCAGATTACTATACCCATCGCTATAATTCATAATAACCAGTCGATAATGACCCGAGCACTAGTGGATACTGGAGCCCAGGCCGACCTTGTCGACCAAACGTTCCTTGGAAAGCATGGTTTCCCTCTCCTTGCCAAAGACCTTCCCCAAACTCTTCATCTTCCAGGAGGCGTGACAAAGCCGCTGGAATTCGAGGTGGAGTTGAAGATTCTGCTTGGGGAGGGGTTCGAACCATATACTTCGAGGTTCACGGTGGCAGACATCGGTCTGGCTACGGTAATACTAGGCTTTCCCTTTGGCAAGAAAGTTCGACCAATCATTGATTGGAATCACGAACGTATACTGCCTTCCCCTTCTTCGGCCGAACCTTTGGTTCGGCCACCAAACATTTCTATCATCAGTCCGGAAGCTTACGATCAGGACTTCGACGGCCAGAAGGGGGCAGTGTACCTTCGGCTGGCCACTGTGGGGGAGCTGGACCCGAAGGATGTCGTCCCCCACACTTACTGGGATTTCCTGGACGTCTTCTCAAAAGGAGAGGCGGATAAACTTCCGGACCACAGACCGTTCGACCATCGAATCCCGCTGGTAGAGGGCAAACACCCCACTTTCGGGCCTATCTACTCTCTCTCGCCGGTGGAGCAAGATGCCCTCCGAAAGTACCTGGATGAGAACCTTGCCAAGGGGTTTGTGGTGCCCTCGGAGTCGTCGGCAGGCGCTCCTATCCTTTTTGTAAAAAAGAAAGACGGCTCACTGCGCTTATGTGTAGATTACAGACGTCTCAACGAGATAACCGTTAAAAATCGGTACCCATTGCCGCTGATTGGCGACCTGTTAGATCAACTCCGAGGAGCAACGGTCTATACCAAAATCGACCTGCGAGGAGCCTACAATCTGCTCCGCATCGCGGAGGGCGAGGAGTGGAAAACAGCTTTTCGCACTCGATTCGGATTGTTCGAGTATCGGGTTATGCCTTTTGGGCTGACTAATGCGCCCGCTTCCTTCCAACACCTCATGAACCACATTTTCCGAGATTTGCTGGATAAGACAGTAATTATATATTTGGACGACATACTAATTTACAGTGCGAACCTTCGAACACACCAATCCGATGTCCGCGAGGTCCTCACGAGGCTCAGAGCAAACAAGCTGTTTGCTAAACACGATAAATGCGACTTTCACGTCGATCGTGTGTCCTTCTTGGGATACCTTGTTACTCCTGAAGGGATCAACATGGATCCGGAGAAGGTCCGAGCTGTCGAAGACTGGCCTACGCCAGGGACAGTCAAGGAGGTGCAGAGCTTCCTGGGCTTCGCGAACTTCTACCGCCGTTTCATAGCTGGGTTTGCGAAAGTCGCAACACCACTTCACGAACTTACCAGGAAAGACACGAGGTTCACATGGTCTCCTACTTGTGAGTCCGCGTTTAAAGAACTTAAGTCGAGGATCGGGTCTGCCCCGATCCTGCGTCATTTTGATCCCAATTTACCTTTGACCGTCGAAACCGATGCTTCGGACTTCGCGGTTGGGGCTGTGATCTCTCAGAGAGGCGGGGATGGTCTATCACGGCCGCTAGCCTTTGCCAGCCGTAGCATGAACCCAGCAGAGCTTAATTACCCAATACACGACAAAGAGTTCCTCGCCATTGTTTTCGCTTTCAAGGAGTGGAGGCAATACTTGGAGGGGTCACAACACCAAATCCAAGTCTTCACGGACCATAGGAGCCTCGAATACTTCCTTACGACCAAACAACTCACCCGTCGACAAGCACGGTGGTACGAACTGATGGCGGATTTCGACTTTGTCATCACGTATCGCCCAGGTAAGCAATCCACAAAGCCCGACGCACTTTCGCGCCGGTCAGACTACAGACCCACAGATACGGATAACACTTCGTTATCCCACGAATTGAACGCTCACAACTTCAAAGCATTGCTTTCGAAGGAACAGTTCCTCCTTGCTCTGTCGATTCCAGAACCGACGCAAGTGCTGGGAGCTTCACCCACAGATTTATATCGCGACGACGTGGAGTTCGTCGGATTAAAAGGCAAAATCCCCTCGGAAGGACTATCTATCGACTCTGCCGGTTTCCTTCGTCGTAACGAGCAGTACTACGTGCCCTCTCGTTATCGAACGCAAGTGTTCGACAGTTGTCACAACTCCTTGTCCGCCGGACACCCTGGAGGACGCAAAACTCTGCAAATGATCGCCAGGGCCTGGTGGTGGCCGAGCCGACGGAGGGACGTTGTCGATTACGTGGCTCAGTGCCAAACTTGTCAGAGAGACAAGCCATCACGAGCTAACCCGTTGGGCCTGCTGAAGCCCCTTCCCATACCCGGAAGACCTTGGGCGGACATCTCCTGCGATTTCGTAGGCGAACTGCCAGGTTCGAAGGGCTTTAATGCCATTCTGGTGGTGGTGGACCGTTTCACCAAAATGGCTGTTTTTATTCCCACAGTTACCACGCTGACGGCAGAGCAGTTTGCCGACCTTTTCATCGAGAAGGTCTACACTCGTTTCGGTTTACCCGACACCATCACTTCCGATAGAGGAAGCATCTTCGTTTCCAGATTTTGGAAGGCAATATCCACCTACTTGAGGGTCGATCTTCGATATTCGACGGCCTTCCACCCACAGACTGACGGCCAGACAGAGCGGGTTAATCAATGGTTGGAACAGTACCTTCGGATGTACACTAACTTGGAACAGGATGACTGGGCCGTCTTATTACATCACGCTGAGCTCTGTTACAACACCACTCCTCATTCCTCCACCGGTATGGCGCCGCTGACGGCTTACACAGGTCGGACTTACAGAACCGACCTCCTCACACCTGCACTCGATGCAAACACACCATTACCATCTCCCCAGGCACATCACCGAATGCAGGCGTTCGACACACTGCATAAGCTCCTTCGCGATTCCATCCAGAAGGCTCAGTCTGCGCAGAAGGCTGCGTATGACAAGCACCGCAGGGAACCGCGCTTCGAGGTGGGGGACTTGGTCTGGCTCAGTACCAGGAACCTGCGAAGTCTTCGACCTTCGAAGAAATTGGACCACCGAAAAGTTGGACCATTTAAGTTGATTGAGAAGATCAACGACAATGCCTGGAGGCTCGAACTTCCGGATTCGATGCTAAAAAACAGGATTCATCCCGTATTCAACGTGTCCCTACTCTCCCCGGCCAAGGGCAGCGTCTCCCCTCCCTCAGAACCATTGGTCGCCCCAATAGAACAGGTAGTCGACGAAGAGGAGACGTACGAGGTGGATTACCTGGTGGGAAGGCGAAAGGCCAAGGTTCGAGGACAAACGGACTTGGAAGATCAGGTCAAGGTCAAATGGGTGGGATACCCGGAGGAGGAAGCGACGTGGCAGCCCACGTCTACATTAGAAAACGACTCAAATTTCCCACGTTGGGTGGCCGAGCTGACAAGCAGATTGAACTCCGAACCCAATGGTTCGACCGCCCCACTGGCTCCACGCCGTCGTACGCTTCCTCAGCGTTTCACTAAATAGAGTTCCCATCACAATTCATACTTCCAGAGAACATTCACAATCTTTACACACTGTCATTACGATACACAGTCCTTACCCCTACATCTTATACTGTACAACGAATTCACCTACGTCCTGTCCCCCTCTTGCTCCTTTCCAACCTGCTCTTCCTCGCCTCCCTAGTCGACGGACCCGCGTGCTCTTCATCTTCATCGCCGGAAGTCTCGAAGTCGGGTTCCCACTCTTCCTCTCCTTCGTCGATGGGCGGCGTTACCAAGGACGATCGAAGGATAGCCTTCGACCTTCGAGGACGCAAAACCCGTTGGACCTCTTCTTGCTCTTCCTCCTCATCCTCCACCGCGCGTTTTCGCTTCCTTTCCACAGCCTTACCCTTCTTTCCCTTCTGTGGCCGGACAGCAGCTTTCTCCTTCCCTTTTCCCTTAGTCGAACGGTCATGTTCGACGAACACATCGTCTGATTCGACGTCCGAAGGATTAGAGGGGCGGTCCTCATCAGTGTACTCGGAGTCGGACGGATGCCGGACAGGACGATACCTCCAATGATAACGAGGGATGGGAAGTCTCTTCTTGGACACAGCGAGGACGTCGTCCGCTTCTTCGAACATTCCCGGCACCATTTTGGAGCGATCAAGGTCCTAAGAGTTAGTTTTCGGCGGTCGAACGGTTCAGTTCGATGCACGAACCTTAGCCATTCTAGTTAATTCCTTCAAACCCGTCACCCCCAGCTGAGAAAGGGAGGTATTCCCATCGTCTACCATTGACACTAGGATCCCCCCAAGAACTTGGAACCCCCGAAACATGGACCGATGGAACGGATAGGTGATTTTCGGCGCTGACCGGGAGCCATGTTTGCCGGACGAAGCGAGGGAACAGGGACGAGCGGTTAGTTGGCAATAGTAACATCTGGTGGTTATCGAACATTAGGATTCGAGGAGGAAACGACTTACTTGCCACCAATATGGATCGAATCGTCCGGGGCGACGAATAAGGGGGCCATACACGACATCTTCTTCACGGTGGGGGGGAGGAACTTGGTCTGGATGTTGCGACACCCATCACAGCGATCTTCGACATCCACTTCTGCTAGCACGAGGTCTGGATCTTTTAGCAGAGCCAGCATACCGGTCCACAGAGCCTGAACGTTTGAGGCACGGTTTCCAATGTTCTTCTGAAGATATGTGGCCAGGATCTTCGAACAAATCAGTTCGATCATCAATTCCGTTACAGATTACACACCAATTGACCCCTGGACAGGTGAGGAGACGCTCGAACCCGTACGTCATGGAAGCGAGTGACGGTCGAACCGTGAGACACGGTTACAGTCCCATTGCTGACCGTCACCGAAGAGGGCGAAATCTCCACACGATCGCCAACAGCGACTTTCTTGCTCTTGGCGGAGGCGACATACGGAGTGAGATACCCCACTTCTTGCAGCTCGTCGCTGGATTGCCGCGCGGGAGTAGCGGGAGGAACAGGATTGGTCACAATTCGAGACTGTGCTAGCCTCGAACCCAGGTCTTCGATCCCGGGAAACTCGTCTGACGATCAGTTCTACGCCAAGATTCCAAACAAAAAGAAAAAAAAAAAAAAAAAATTCCGGTTCTACCGGGTTTTCCTGTTCATCTTCTGCACTCAATTCGTCTGCTCCAGTTCGTCCTCCATTGGGACGTCCTCTTCCGGCTCCAGATATTCTTCATCGTCAGCAGAGTCAACTACGCGGTCCCTCAAACGCAGAAGAAGGGCGGCGGTTTGTCGAGTGGCTGACGACGGGGTTGCGACGGGGATCGAAGAGTTCTGTTCGAGGGCGGAGGACTCTCGCTTGACGACGTGGGGACGGAGTAGCAAGGTGATCTCTGAGTTTGGAGAAGGAGATTTGGTCATGGTGTGTAAGGATGGAATGTGTGTGTGTGAGAGTAAGGAGTTTAGAAGAAGAATGAGTAAAGGACAAATGGACGAAGGAAATAGAGGACGTAAACATGTTGGAAAAGTCAATGAACGTAGAAAACAGGTCAACGCGGGAATCGATGGAATAAGGGTTTGTGAGGATTGATGGAATGGTTGTGATGGGATCGGATTTAAGGGTTCGAGGACGAAAGGATTAGATGCGATCATCGTGGACGATGATTTTTTGGAAGGGAGGATACTGTCATGACCACGTGCGTCGAAGTTGCTAGTTCGGGTAATATCCAGTTACCCGCCACCGATAAACACTACCAGCCACCCTTATCTACATTACACTCTCATTCCATGTACATAAGGTAGTGCATAGCTTAGAACAACTTCGACGAATGTATCTTGTCTGTCTCAACATACAAGTTCTCTTATACATTTGCCAAAACTTATTATTCACTCCTCGAACTATTTGCTTCGATCCTCGTATCCTCTTACAACTAGTTCAAGTCCCTACAAGTAGCTCATCACCCTCGACGCAGATCCTTCGACCTTCGGTCTGGTCTTGACAGATTTCTTCGAAAGTATACTGTCGATTCGCGATCGGACTTGAATGGCGTGCGCCTGCGCAGACCTTGAGAGCAGGGCAGGCGACACGACGGGATGTATTAAGCGTAGCCAGGTTGGTGCTGGATCTCCCAAACTGCATGGGCCGGATGTCACCTCCCAGGGGAGTTCTCCATCGGGAACGCACTCGTTTGGCATTGCTAATGTTTGGATTGTAACAGGATTTTCCAGTAGTGATTGTATATGAGGAGGGCTGGGGATAACGAAGTATTATATCCTCCACAGGCATGGCCTTCTCATACCATAGGGTTAGGATAAAATAGCACGCTTAACCTGCCTAGTCGACGCCTTGAGCGATTGGAACGGAGTGACGTCGATCATGATGGTCGCATTACGTTTGTGAAGATTTCGAAGAGGAAACGGCGAAGGTGATCGTGGGATTTGGGAGTCTCGGGGAAATTCCTCAACATAGAATATCCGGTGTATGATAGGAAGCGTCATAGAAGATCCCCGAACAATGGCGAGCATGAGAAGTCGAGCGAAGGCGAGTACAAGAGGGTGTTGGGTTATTGTCAAGATCCGTTCCACGGCCTTCCTACCACTAGTCCACCAAATCGATGGTCATGGTCCATAGCTTCTTGTTCCGGCCGTTTACTTCGTGAGCGATTTTTAGAATGTTTACTATTAGAATTCTGAACAAATCAGCACTTCCGTCTTAGTCGGGTCAGCGTAGACCTATCACCAAAGCACGAAGCTCCGCACAATATGGTCTTCTCAAATTGGTCGTCATGTTGAGAGTTGCCTTCTTTCATCGCCTTGGCACTTCGTACGTCGTGGGATAGAGAATGGACATGTAGTCATGATTGGAACGTTCGGATCATTCACTGCGCTGTAACAGGGAGACACCCTCTGCATGATGATGTTGAGTATTTCAAATATCCTCAACGGAGATCATACCCCCATCCCCACCTTCCTCGAGTCGGAATGTATGAATGTCCAAGCCTTTCGTCCGGCGTCATCACCCAGAATCTCCCTCAACTCCTTCTCCTTCATCTTGACCAAATCTTGTATACTCTCCACTTTACTCATCACTAACTTAAGCGTATGACCGCTGACGCCCGGTATAGCTCGAAGCATCTCAACCGCCCCCGCATTCTCCATTGTACCCCCAATCCTGCCAGAAGTCAAGGCAGGAGTGTCTGCTTCAGCCATGGACGAACCCTTGAGAATGGCAGAGACTTCGTCCGGTTCGTCATGATTTAACTTGAGGTCGGATAGGATCTTGACACTCTCGTGGGGACTCGAAGACCAGATAATCCGCAAACGAGGAAAGTGAAGCGATAGGAGCACGAGTTTGGATTGAAGGCAGAAGGCATCTCGCCAGTCGTCAGGTTCAGCTTTTCTCCCAGCTGTTTCTCGACGAGCATCTTCTCGGGTCTGCAGATCAGTTGAGTCATGAAGAGAAATTAGTCTCGTGACAATCTTTGCCATTGACGGTAAAAGAATATGAGTGCTTGACTCACCCTCAAACCAAATTTGTCCTCTTCGAACTCGATGAGCAATATGCAAATCTCGTAGTGGGCCGCCATAGCCTCGCACTGAGTGTGTCTGCCCGTCAGCTTCATAACTAGTCACCCGCCAAGGCACATGCTCGAAGTTCTCCTTTAGAGAAGTAGGTGTTTCGAGAGTGATGACAGGAATACTCACAGTCTTCCGTTTGCAAAACTCGCCTCCAAATCCGGAAGGGCTTTCCTCTCCACACACATTTTAGGATTCAGTATGTAGTCACCAACTGTCAAGGTCGCCGGAACAACTTTGATACCAGCCGCGTCGATGAGGGATGGTAGGAGTGCACCCATCTCACGAATGTCTACTATAATCTGATTATCAGCCAGAAATGCGCAAGTGGCATAAAATTGACTGACTCGGGCTTCTTCCCCTGTGTCACCTCCTCCTGCATTTCGGGTAGAGTATGTAGTCTTGGAACGGGTAATGGCGTCCCGCATAGGTGCACGAGGGTTGTTATTGAAGATTGGGATTACCATGCTCTACAGCCATCAGCTTCCCTTCCATGTGTCAATATAGCTGGCAATCAGGTTTAGGGAGTGGGAACCATATAGTCACGACAACGTACCTGCCGGTCTTCGATGAGTTTCTTGAATGCCTCCGCTTCCCTGGACATGGTGGATAAAAAACGATCCTCTTCGAAAGAATTTGTGTATATTAGCTGATAGACCCGCAACGCCAACCCGGGATTGGAGTTTTTGTACACCTTGCTATCAGCATAGTCCACGCAGCTTCATCCCTCTCTGACAAGATATCAAGCGAGGTGGCCCGGCCTCAACCTTAGGCAGTCGATGGGCAGGTCCGACATGGAACACATGAGGGACGGTGAAAAATTCAGAGACTATCGTACTCACCTCCAAACGTCGTATGAAAGCCAGATTCGGCTCATACATTACAACGAACCTGGGTCTCAACTCTTGCAACAAAATATCGTCGTCTTCGCCCCCACAAGGTCGTATGATCACAGCGTCTTCTGGTGCTAGGAGGCCATAATCTGTTTCGAAATCTTCAGGTAAAAGACCTCGATCTCTGAGCCACTTGAGACTAGCAAAGTCCAATTCTTCTTCTTCAATCACCCCCACACGAGCTCGAAGAGTGAGGGAAGCGTCTCCGACGTTTTGCTCCGACTGCTCTCCACTTTGACCTTCAGTTGAAACTAATCGCGAAGGGCCAGCTTCAGTATTTTGTATATCAAGATCGGCGGACGAAACGCCTGAAAATGCTGATTGAATCTTCGATATGGTTTCTTTGCGCGACCTGTGCGTCAGCTTCACTTCATCTTTACGAAGACCAGCTCACAGCTCGACATCGGCCGCGGACTGTCTGCCAGGAGCAGTGGCCCCTCCTCGTAATCTCCGCCGTTTATAGCTTGGTACACCTCTCTTGTTCCCCAAACCTCGGGCCTTGGCATCCTGGATCCGCTGTTCCTCCATGACGCCTTTGGCCGTTCGAACCTCGTCGGCACCAACGCGGGAAGGATTGCTGAGCCTCTCTCCATTCTTTTCATGCTGCCAATTGCTGAGGAATAGCGTTTCCATCATCTTCCTGCCTGCTTGAGAACCAAAGGGGGGTTCTGTCTTCTCCATGGTAGTGAGATATTGACGCAGCTGTAGACATGTTCTGTCAGACGAACACATGACGAGGACAATGTCCGTCCCAGGCTCTTCGGCGTGTGTCTCATGGATGCGAGCAATGGTGTCTTCAATCTCCTTCAAGACCCTGGCCAGTAAAGACCATTTCGGCTGCTCTTCCAGGACTGCTTCGTGTCCCTTCCGAAGTCTGCGTCTAACAGAAGCGCTGAGGTTATCTTCGAGGTCTATTGTGATGGGTCGGAACACCGGAGGAGCAGACTCGGTCGCACTAATAATGGCGTCATCACCCACTTCAATAAGGTCATCATCTTCCAGGTCGGATGGATGTGGGCGGATGGTCTGGGTTTGAGTGGCAAATGTCTCCATGAGATCTTCGTCTTCCATCTCTTGTCGATCCGTGGCGCCAACTTCGGATTGTCGTAGAGCTTCCAGATCGTCCTCGAACTCCATTGACTCCCCGTGGCCGTTCTGTTCCGAGCTGTTCGCATACGGTTCGTTGTCCATCGTCAGGGCTTTTCTCGAGATCCGGGCCTGCGAGGCCTCCACCAAGATGGCAGCAGCTTTGGCATTGAACCAATCGTGAACGTGTCGACCGGCGCCTACAGACAGCTTTTCAGCTTGGAAGTGTTGTCGTTGGAGAGTGTTGATATATGAGGCAAAGGTTGCCGAATCGTATTCGAGGAGCCAGCTGTTATATCAGCCTCTATAATCTGTTTGACAAGGTGACACACGTGTGCAGATTCCTAAGTTCCGTCAGAGCAGCGACATGAATACGAGTCTTCGCTCCAACTTTATGCCAGACAGACTTCAATCGCATCCTCACAATCGTGTCAAAATTCTTGAATTGCGCGTTTCTTACATTGAGATCCTCCAGGTCCAGGTTCTGACTTCAGCTACTGGTTAAGCCTCAAAGACAGTCCGCTCACCAAGGAATGGTCCCGCTTGAGCTCCACCAACATAGCTTCCATGCATTCTGTGATGGCATCTTGACACTGGCGCATGAGGTCTGTCATGGGCTGGTACATCTCCACCACCTCGGCTTGCCGAGTGGTCAACGCGAGCTTCACAGCTTCATTATACCTGCGCAGTTAGGATAACATTACAAACCCATTTGAGACTCACCGAGGCCAAATGGTGACGCTGTTCATGTTGAGATTGATGAGCATATCTCGGAGGGGTGACATGCCGTGGGCGAACATTTCCGGCTCATCGGAGAAAGCTTTGCAGAAGCCACTCTCATTCGTTAGCTCCTTCTTCAGCGTCAAGGGGTAATGATCAGCTCACCTGGTTCTCACGCCGGTAGAGTCGCACTGCGAATTCCTCTTGGCTGCCATGTGACACCCTGACATCAATACAGCCGTGTAGGATGAAGAGGCTCCTCACCTTTCGGCATGTAAGATGACGAGTCCGGTCACCAGCTTTGCCGGCACAGTTCCCTCTGTATTCTCAGCTTCGTACTCGATTCCTCGACAATCCGAGGTGAGTATGATACTGACTGAGGAGATCATTCACCAATATCTTACTGGTGACACTGAACAGCCCGCCGTGTCTATATAGCTCTTCTCTGGTACTCAGCCGACCATTGTGATAGAACAGGATCTCGCACACCTCTCACGGATGGACATTTCGTATGTTAGAATTCGAAATCCAGGGTCACGAACACCCATGATCCCCAACTCATCTCCGATTCCAGCTTCATCCGCCGGGGTAGCGTTGACCTCGATCGTGAGCTCCTATGTCACCAGGCAAGATGGGACGTGACGTACCACCAGAACGAGGTCCTCTTTCCGGTCATATGTCTTCAACAGAGCACAGATGATCTGGAGGTCAACGAGGCTCAGTTGGGTGGAAGCGGGTACTGCTTCGAAACGTGTTGAGGGTCGAACTCACTCTTCGCAGACCTAGACCTTTGGCGAGGATCAACAGATCGTCCTTTTGGGGCCGGCATATCTCTCGTATAATCGTCTTGTGAAAGGAGAGGTAAGGAATGTGCCTTCGGTGGATGGAAGCGGCTGTCATGACATGTGCCTGCTTGGATATTGAAGCTTATGAAGCAGCGTAAAGGAAAGTCCCAGAGGTCGACCGGATCATGCCCCGTTCTCTCAGTGTGGTGTGGGGCTCCATACGGCGACAAACACTTATCCCGATTTGACTCTCGTTCGTTTCGACATTCAAGCTGGTTCCACCATCGACTAGGGACCATCAACAGTGTTCAGAGCTGTGTTGTATAAACGAGACCTAGTGGGTTGAAGGTGTCTGACTCTTCATGCCGATAGGTGCGGGGCGGGGGAGTAGGATAAACACGTTCTAAACATGACATTACAACAGAACCCTGACCAAGAAGAAGCCTTCTTTCAACTCCTGAGTGTAGAAGCCATGGACGATTCCATACTCTTCTCGACCAGCCTTGAAGGACTCAAGAAATTGGTCAAGCTGAGCGAACGATATCAAGAAGCATACGGGATACGGACGGCATGGGACTCTCCAGACAAGACGGTTTTCTTCACAATTGGAACACGGATGACCCTCCCGGCAGAGATTACAATCAGTACACCACAAGGCCTTCAACATGTCCCGTCAACCGACAACCCAAAACTTCTACGGACATCCTTAACCAGACCGCAGGAGACTTTCGAAGACATAATCCAAATCGTCGACCGGTTCCCACTCCCGCCACACTCCAAGTTTCCGTTGCCGGTGATACGGAGAGCCGTTTCCTCCCTCCTAATTGCCCAGATTCGTGCAAGACTTCAATTCATGCCCCTTACCCCAACACAAAGTATGACAATAGATACGGCTATATCTAACAAAGTCACTCAAGCCCTCAATCTACGACCTACTAGAACTCAGATTCTCACCTTACCATTACAAATGCACGGGTTCGATTTCCCATCGGTGTGGATCATAAACGCAAATATTGCTATCAACACGGTATTAAGAGCGCTGAATCACCATCTGCCGCCATTATCAAATATGGCCCAAATTACTCTGGCTAACTGGCAGTGTCAATCTAATCAATGCATACCCCCTCTAGAATCACCCAAGCGATATCGTAGACCAACAGCGTCCGTCCCCCTAACCTGGACTACGGCAGCTACCTATCTCGCAACGGCCGAAATGAGTATCCTCGACACTGATCAGTCATCATGGGCAGACGACCGTTTCCATCACGTACTGAATCGACTAATCGACTGTGGGGGCATAGACAGGTCAGCTAATCGAATTATGCGGAAGACGCTTGAGCAAGCCCCCGTCACGACCAACGGTAACTTTGTCCTCAGTGACACCTTCGTATGGCAGACATTGGTCAGTAACATCAAAGTCCTAGCGACACAAGGACCACAGGCGAAACGGAAACAATTCCTAGCTGCTCATAAGTTACTGAGTACGGTAAATCCATCCCTTCTCAGCAAATATGACCCAACTCTTGTTCTACCTCGAGCTGACCGACAGAATACACTAGACGCGTCAATTCTCGCCGGATTAAGGAAAGATCCCAAACACCACGACAACATATGGGCCACAGATGGCAGTCATAAGATGATCTTCGGCACAATCTCATCAACTACGGCCGCAATGGTAGGCCCCACAACGGGCGCTTTCTCCATCCGCGGATTGCGGACCTCCTCCCTCCATGGGGAATTAGTGGGGCTGATAGCCGCTCTCACACACATCCAATCATCAAACCAATCCCTATCAAGTCGAAACACTTTACAACCCCCGCTCATCCTCACAGATCACAAAAACACGGTCAATAAGATTTTGGTCATGCAACAAACGGAGTATGATTTGTGGAGGTTACGGGGTTATCCGGCTACGGAATTCCACCGTTGGCTATACGCTAAATTACAGCCGGTTGATGTTCAAGTTTCCCACATCAAGGCTCATACAAATTTGGAAGATACATATTCGAAACTCAACGAGGAGGCGGATGAGAAAGCCAGTGAGGCTCACCGGAACCCGACCATGATCATCCCACCCCCAACGGCATACATGAGTAAGTTCGTTCCGTTTTGCTCCAGAACCAAATGTTACTTAACAGACGGATGGGAAACCGTCCTCAACGAGAGACTACTGGACAACCTCTATCAACAACAGCCCCATCATCTCAAGTCCCGTATTGCTTTTCGACCTCATCCCTCCCAAGTCGCTGTCCCTTCATATTTCTATTTTCGTTCTCCGGCACCTCTCATCACAAAATACCAACTATCACTCAAGACTGGACAATTCCCATCTGGATGGAAAATGTACCTAGCCGGTTTACGAACGTCTCCCGAATGCGATCTCTGTGGAGCTCAGCTTCAAGACGAAACACACATATTTGTCAAATGTCCGTTCTACGAAGATATGCGAGAACAAGCTAGGAAACAATTGCTAGGTTGTCGCTTGAAAGGCCAAGCTACAGAAATATGGAAAAGCTACGTACACAATCTCTTTTCAAACACATCCTCACATACTACCAAATACTGGTACAACATAATTCCCATACCCTCACCTGATACAGTTACTCCATACCTTATTCGCCGAGCATACGATATGGCCATTTCGCTAACTGCCAGAATTGCTGGTCATATGACCTATCGAGCAACCACCAATAACGCCACATCGGTAAGGCCGCAAGAATCATTAGAAACCCGCTGGGTCGCTGTTAGAGAAAAGAAGAGGAAAACTAGGTCAGATGAGACAGGAACAGTTAATGAGCCCCCTCGGCAACAAAGGAGGTTAGCTTAATTACCTTTGTAACGAGATTAGGTACGAGGAAACATCTTGGTGGTTCCTGAGGCGGCGATCGCCGGAGTGCCTTAAATATGCATGCCTTCTTGGCTCAGGGGTAGAGCGCTTCACTCGTACTTTCGAATGATGAAGCGGTCACTGGTTCGAATCCAGTAGGAGGCATTTATCTTTTGCCTTTCGTGTACAGAACAAGTTTGTTTTCCTATGTCATCACTTTCCTGTGACCTTCCCTCAGTGAATGATTTACTGAGCCATCTGGATGATGGTTGAAATGGCGGGGACTGTTTAGAGGCGAACAGATCGGAACAGAGCACACAAGAGTAGACGAGTGGCGTATACATCCATAGACCAAATTAGCTCGAAACCGCTTGCTACAATTTCTGCATCTTTCTCAATTCATTCTCTGAATTCACTCTCACTCTGACTTACCCTTTTCATAATGTTTACCAGACCTCTTGGTCTCAATAGGCACTTACACACTACCCTCAGAGTGTTTACCCCTGTCTCTCCGTCCCAAAGCTCGCCCCTCGAAACTAGTCTTCGGAACGGTTTGAAAGAAGCTATGAAATCCCGAAATCGACCAGCTACTACAACTTTGAAAGTGAGTATCTCATCTCATGCTGTCATGTTTTTGAAGTATCTGGGTACTTATGTATAGACGATATTGGCAGATATCACGTATACCTCAAAATCTTCCCCAGATCCGTCAAAGCCTTTATCACAGGAAAGAGTGTTGTATGTTCTTAGGAAAGGTATCAAACAGCGAGTACGTGCTTTCCCTCCTCTTCAGTTTACACTCATTCTCTTTAGATACTCCTCAACTTCCTGAGTAAGACTGATAGATGGTGGTTCTAGAGGATACCAGTCGACTCTTGGCCGAGGATTTTGTTATTGTCAAAGCTCATTTATCACATGTAGCCACCGAGGCCGGTTCTAGGATGGAGGGGAGGGAGGAAGTACGGGATGAGGAGGAAGTGCAGATGATGAAGATAGGGTGATTAGACGAATCTGTATAAATTAAGCTGATGATACAAGTCCGAAGCAGCTCTCTCTTATTCACCCACCTCTCAATCTCCTCATCCCGAAAACTATTCAAATCTTTCTGACGAAATCTCTCTCTTAAAATCATACCTCCCTCCCGCCCCTTCAGACACCACGGTCAGAGGGATGATAGATGATATCATCTCGACTCTCGATGAAGATGTTCGATTGGGGAAAGGAGCAGCGGGGAATGTCATGAAACTTCTCTGGGAAAGATTAGGGGAAGACAAGGGTTTGGTGGATAAGAAAGAAGTTGGGAAATGGGTTCAAGAGGGTTTGAAGAAGATATGAATATGCATAGTATCTACATCAATCGACATGGAGCTCAGATTTAAAAGGATGAAATTGATGTTATGTAACGTGATGTATCTGGAAATCTAGATTTTTGCTCCATCAGGAGAAGAGAGAGACGACGGAGATGTTTGTTAGATGATCAAAGCGTGGATGTTCCTCAATCGACAAGAAAAACAAAAAGAGAGATGAGTCTGGTGGTTGCTGCGGACCGTCAAACAGCTATCAAGGTAGATGGTGAAGGGTCACAAATGAAGGAACTGTGGACATAGAATGATACAATCAAGAGCTCTTGACCCTCTTTGATCTCCTCTCTCCCTCAGATACTTCCCTAACACCCGCATTATCCTTCTGACTTTCCGCTTTCCTCTTCCCTTTCTCCTTTCTCCTCCCTTCTTGAGACCTCTTTGACTGATTTACATTCGATTGGAGTTCCCCGACCGCAGATCCGCCACTATCTCTTTGACCCCTTTTGGAAGGTTCAGGTAACGTACCGGATTTACGAGCTGAACCCGGAATCTGGATCTTGGACTCGGAATCATGTGATTCCCTCAACAACCTGCCGATTCGTTTGAGTTCACTTTTGAAGGATGTCATGGCGGTGGGAATTATCGGTTGTTTCTTCTGCTTCTTGGATGATCCTTTGACAACAGTCTTCAAGACACTTGCGAGAGGCTGATCTTCATGACCTCTTTGATTTGAAGGCATTTTGACCTTATTCCACACATTCGAGTCGCCCAATCGCTCTTCGAGATCTCGAAGCATATCACTCGTGCTTCTCAACCGAGAGATTTGAGATTTCTGTAATGAACAACGATCAGCGAGATTTCGAAGATAAAGCGACACCTCGGTGGGAGAGAACGTACGCCATCGATCTACACTTCCCCCTCTTGATCCATCTTCCACATGCGGTACATCACCATCTTGTCGAGCTTCTTCAGGGTCCAAATATCGGGGCGGAGAAGCCACTTCGTCCTCGGGAGGTGGTGATGAGGAACTCGCGACATATATGATCTCTTGTGGCTGCGATGGCGAGTAGGCCCGAGTTTGTCTAAGAGTCCAAGGTACGGTAGCGGGATCCGGTAGGAGATTGGCAGCAGTAGAGGCACATTCGACTACGAGACCGTGATGAATTTTGATACCCTTTCTCTCAAGTGCGGCGCGACCTTTCTCGATCCAATGAGCCAATACCTCTGGTCGTTGATACCAATGCGAGAAGTTTGCGTGGGAAGGAAGGGTGTCGATGGTAGGTTCGTCGACCGGAGACGAATCGAGAGAGACACCTCCATGTCGGATCCAAGCCGGTACATTATCAATCCTTCTCATTTCGTCGAGTATTCCAATGACCCCAAGAAGGATCTCATCCATCTCATTCCCCGGTGCTTTATGAGTCGAGGGTGTTATGGCGTCTATATCTTTCGCAGAAGTATTCGAGGCTGTATATCTGGCTTTGTCGTATTCGGGTATGTTGATCTGATTCCACGGTTGGTACATAGCTTTTAGAGGGGAGTCATCGAGTAAAACGATATTACGTTCGTCCAGAGGGAACGGAACGTCGACCTTCTCAGCAGGTATGATACCATTCGGTGCTAAGTGTTGACAGACTTTACGTAGATCTTTGAAAGTCTGTACTCGTCGTCCTGAACATGAACACTCGGTTATGATTCCACTGATTAAACTCACTGTACTCTACATCAGTTAACCCCATTTTATCACGAGCCCAAACATCCAAAAGGCGACCTTCCCCCGCGACAAATCGACGCTCTTGTTCCTTTCCGCCCTCTAAATCCCAACCCCATACGCCACGGGACCACTTCTTCCCAAATGCCTCTGTGACCATACCGCGCACGTTGTGAGGTTGAGCAGAAGACCATACGAAGACTTCCCAAGGACGAACGGGTAAGAGTCCGTCTCCGTCATGCTCGGTGTCATCGGGGATTGGATCGGGCTCAAAAAGGTAAGAGAGGAAGTTTGAGAGGTAAGGTCGTGGATGACCTTTTTTTCTATTGGTCGGGGTTCGATACACCAAAGCACCATTGAGATCAAGTACAAGCACTTTGGGAATGACGAAGGATTTCTTCAAAGCGGCTTTGGATGAGAGCTCGAGGTAATCTGGGGGAGGTAGCTCGGGATTGAAGGGAGGCGGAGTTGAAGACCAATGCCGACGTGGGGATTGAGATCCGGGGTTTGTTTCTCGGGTGGAGGTAAGTCGAGTTGAAGGCCAAGGTTGAAGTGGAAGTGATGTGGGAGGAGGAAAGTTTGAAGGACCAGAACGAGGATTGAGATAATGTGAGGAGTGCAGAGAAGTGTAATTCGGGGTCGATACAGGATTCCGTCTCTGAGGTGGGATATAAGGTCGTGAAGCCCCATTGACATTATGTTGAAAGGCCATGGAAGTCTGTGAACGAGCTGGGGGATCTCGTGATCTTTGGTTTTCCCATCGATCGACTCTTGGGTTGGATTGATGTCTCTCTTGGGCAGGCATTTCTCGTGAAACTGACGGATTCGGTTCACTCTGGCGAATATAGACAGGGTCATACTCCGATCTCCACTCGTTGTACTGTGCCTCCATTGTCGGCCTACCATCATCAACCCATCTCTCATAGGCCTCCCGATTTGAAAACGCCTGATACTGTCCGGGTGATTCTCGACGCCATTCTTCCCTCTCCGCCCTGAGTCCCCTGTCACTGATTTCTTCCACGGAAGTTTGACGACCTGGAGGTTGATAGCGACGGGAAGATGACCTTGCGCTCATGGTTGCGACCAAGGCTGATGGCTTTGGCGCCATGAGGAGGGAGAAAGGCAAAAGGGAAAATGCTGCGAAGTTTGAAGTCGGATGGGGCGGACATCTCCGCCTCGAATTATGGGTCGGACTTTGAACCTGCAACTATACTATGGTAAATCACTTTGTCCACTTTCGAGATGATCGCAATCAGCTAATAATTTGGACACAGCAAGAAAGATCAAGAGAGCAGACGAGAAGAGAATAATCATGTCGACGGTGGTTGTTGCAGCTGGGTGGACTTTCACCCAAGGTCTCCTGGTCGGTCAAGCTTCATTCCTCTTCCTCTGCGTATTGTTCATACGCTATGTTGTGTTCTCACCTTCGGAGGAGGATGAAGAAGGATGGAAAGCCAAAAGGGCGGCTCAGATCAAGGTGAGACCCCATGATCTACCTGATACATCTATCACTCTCATCCTAGCGCCAGCGGATGAAGCATCACTCATGTCTTCTCTTGTCAAGGCAAAAACGGATAGCACTGAAGTCACAGAAAAAGTTACTTTCGACTACTGCGGTACCCTCTCCTTCTGCTTCTCAACTCTTGCAGAAGACAACATACGATATGGCTACTCATCCAGCCGAGTCTACCGGCTGGCTCAATGTCTTACTTTCTCAGGTAAGTCATGCGTTATGCGTCCTCCACTGCTGAGTTATACTCATTTACAGATCCTACAAGGGTACAGAAACGACCTACTTTCTGAAGGTGGAGAAGAAGGAGCTAGGCAAAGAGTAGAACGATGGATGAATCCTGAAGGCGCAGCGATGAGCTGGCTAGTGAGTCTGACGTCTTAATTTGAGGATCATGATTGAACAGAAGGATCCGATTCAAGTCACAGCTCTTTCTCTGGGTTCGAGCTTTCCCTTGTTGTCGAATGCTAGGATACGTCCTGCGGATGGTCAAGGACATATAGTGAGTCTTTCTGAATTTCTTTCTATTCGTTTTGTCGAGATCTCCTCTTCCATTTACACTATACGTTTTCAACATGGTGGTGGTTTGAAAATGGGAAGGGCAAGCAAAGGGTTCAGTAATCCACGTCAGGTGGATGGCTGATATCCAGCGAGCTGAAATCGATGTCGATTACTCCGACTCACTATCCCTTTCTCTGTCGACTAGCGTACTTATCAACTTCCCTCGTCCAAGATTTGCCGTCTTGCCTGTTTCTTTAGGCGTCGAACTCGCTTCGATTGGAGGTACCGTCAGTCTTTTCTACATCTTCTTTTACAATGGCCCACTAATCATCAGCTGAGTTTACAGATTCATGATCCAGGGAAAGATCTGGCTCAGCATATACACGCTTGTCTACTTCCAGACTTTCATCTTCATCTTAAAACAACCACTCTTCTTGGATCACGAGCCAAGTTGCAAGGTGAGCCACTGATCGCTACCAATCTCAATTCTATACATTTCTCCCCCTTTGTCTCTCCTCCTCTTCTTTCTTTCCGCCCCCAGCTCTCAAACCGACACATACTCGATCGACGTATTGTTCCAGTCCCGATCCTAATGTCGTGATTGGGACACTTGGCAAACTCTCTAACTGTCAGATATCCCCAAACTGGAACAACTCGTCTTATCCCGACTCCGGGCTGTTATTCAAGATCGTTTCGTTTATCCAAATCATCTCACTCTGACCCTTCCTCGATTACTTCGATCATCAACCACAACGACACCTACTGACATCGTATCCGACATTGGGCATTCAGCTCTTCAAGCGATGAGCGGTTCATTAAGTCAAGCTATCAATACTTTAGTATCTGATTCCCCTCCTTCCACTTCGTTTCCAACACCATTACCAACTCCTTCTCATCCTTCAAACCCAATTACACCCGTGGATCCTACCGGTCCCATCAGCCCTGTCAGAGGCCAAAAAAGTATCCCCATGCCACTAAATTTTCCTCGACCTCCGTCATCGTACCAAAACTCCCCCATTTCGACACCTCGTCCACTTACGTCCGTGAAACCTTCGAATCCTCTCGGTATAACAGGTTTACCAGGTAGACAGGATTCTTATGTTCATTCACAGACTACACCATCAGTTGCCTACACTTCGGCGTCGAAAGTTTCGATGACCGCACAAGAAAAGGAAGCCTTCAGATTCAGAGGACATTTCGCTAGTCAGCCTCTTACACCTGGACAGGTCGGAGTAGAACATGAAAATGTCAGACATGGGGTTTTGAATGCTAGAATGAATTGAAATGCATGGATCTTGGTAACTCCATTCCCTGTGACTCACTATCAGTGCAAGCCGTTAAAAAGGCGCCGTGGGTGACCGAACCAGGCAGACCTTGGCATGGACCCCTCCAGAAACTACTCAAACATAAGTACATATGTCGGATAGGGAAAGCTTTTATCTGATGGGCGATAGATACTAGATGCATGACGCGACGTGAAATTATCTATGAACTGAACCTTGCTATCAAACATGCTACGACCACCACTCAAGCTAAAAACACCCGCCAAGCGAGATAAGCACCGACGACAGCTACGGGAATCAACCAGGTGATTTTTCTTCTTGTCAGTCTACCTCCTATCCCGTACAGACCAATAACACTCAGTCAGACCGGACTAGAAGAACAAAGAATGGGGATGTGAACAAGCATTGTGGAAGCAGCACTCTCAATGTTGTACATCGAGCAATGTCAAGTGATTGAGTCGGATGGCGGAGTGGAGAAGACATGAAATGTGATTAAAGGATGGAAGAACACGAAAACACTCACGATTTCTCACTTTGGATAGTCTTAGCTGCTGTGGGGTACGGATCCGTTTTCTTCTTTGAAGTTTTCTATTCTCAGTTTCCAGCTCGACCAAAAATCAATTTTCCACCACCGTCAAAAAGGGGGTATAAACGGAACTCATTCTGAAGGATTGTCGTTCATACTATTGAACAGACACAAAGGGAAAGTATGGGACATAAAACTCGCGTGAAAAAGAGGAAAGGAAAGGAAGAACAGATAATCTCAAGAGTTAATCAAAAAAGAAAACTCACCTGTCCTTGGAAATCACCTAAGAGCATCTTTGGTAACATTGATCTCGCTTCATCCGAATGACCAACATCTTCAAAAGCTTCAGTTGCATCTCTTCCTGCTTCTTCTAACATGACTTCGTCTCCTCCTGGGTGCTGTACATCAACAATAACCCATTTTTTGTCTTTCACCCCAATATCTTGTTATCCCTCGTCAACAGGCAGAATAGAGCACTGAGTCAGATGAGAGGTTCGAAAGGTCACTGAGATGTTCCGACAGAGTAGTCTTAGATTGGCAAGTGGTGAAGTATGGGGGTAAGAATGTATGAGAGTGTTTTGGGTGAAAATGAGTAGATGGCTCATCTCTTTTCGCTATGGGGAAGAGGACGAAGAATGCTCCCAGAGATCAGGAAAGATGAAAAGTGGAGAAAGATAACTCACCTCATCCATGAAGCGAGTCACATCATACACTTTGTCATGTAACAACATCCATAAACTCTCTTTACTGCCATGCTCCTTGAGCTGTTCCATGGTGTACGTCTTGATCGCGCCGTCTGTATCTGTGCCCCCAGAGGGAGGAGCTGATACTGGAATTTGTGAAGCCATTCTGAGTATACTTTATCGCTCTCTTCCAAAGCTTGAAGGATGATCAAGGAATCAGCTTCTTGTTGAGGCGACCAAACAGTGATGACTTATGTAATGTGTTGGAATGTGTTGAAAGTAATTACTCTATGGGGATGAGACGATCTTTGAATCGGGGAGAGCGCGAAGAAAGGATGCGGACATCGCCGCTGTGTACTTTGGGGAGGCTCTCACACCAATCACAGTCAACCCAATGGCCGCCCACGCTGCCATGCAACCATGCAACTCGACGCTTCGCAATGGAAGACGATATCATACATCCCATCCCATCCTATCACCCTACAAACTGATGTCAATCTGTTTAGCATCCTGACCAGCAGCCTTGGCCTGCTTGCGCATCTTGGCGATACTTCCAGGTCAGCGTGGAGCCAAGCGAGGACAAGTGGACGTACGATTTTTTACCACGGATACCTCCACCCCAGTGACGTCTGATCTCCTCTGCTTTGTCCAAATAATTTGCTTTACATGCAGAGACGAGGTTAGCGAGGGCTTGTTGATCCTCTGATCGGACTTCTTCGATGGCGACGACGGCTGAAGTCTTCTTGCCTGACCATGAGCGTCATCTCGACCAAGTGTTGATCTGATTGAGGTAATGGTAGCAGGCACTCACCAGTGATGACACCGAGACGAGCTTTACCCTTCACAATGCAGTAAGGAACTCCCATCTTCCTGCAGAGAGCAGGCAGGAAGACAACCAACTCGATAGGGTCAACATCGTCAGCGATAGCCACCAGCTTGGTCTTCTTGGCTTCGACAAGAGCAACGATGTGGTTGAGACCGTATTTGGCGAAGAGGGGCTTTTTGCTGTCCTTCTTGGTCGCCTTGTCTCCCTCTTTGGAGCGAGCCTCGGCCTCAGCAATAAGACGTGCCTTCTTCTCTTGTTTCGACTCGGGCTTGTACTTGTTGAGAAGTTGGAAGAGCTGCGTGGCGGTGTTTTTGTCAAGGGTGTGGGAGAACTGGGCAATGGCGGGAGGGACCTGAACACTCAGTCAATCCTTCTGTCCACATCTCGACAACCTGGAAGTAAATATACCCACCTTGAGACGCTGGTTCAAGATGACTTTCTGTCTCTGCAATCGGACGTATGCGGGCCATTTCACCGATCGAGTCAAGTCGGTTTTGGGAGGAAGATCCCCACCTGAATTTTAGTAGGCTTCACAGCACACAGGACTGAAACTGACCAATACCGAAACTTTTGGGGCGCTTGACGAACAGAGGGTTTTTGGTTGATGTCGCTGGCTTTTTTGCACCGACTGTTAGTTAGTAGTGTTCCTCGAAGTGGGATAGCTGGTTGCTCCGGTACGTATGACATGCAGACGTATGGTAGGATATAACCTGTGGCACAGAAGGAGAGATACGGAAATATCATGTACTCACAGGGAGCAGCGGCAGGCTTGGAACGTCCTTTAGTTGCTTTAGGCTGCAAGGTCATTGAGACGGCGTCAGCACACAGCCATACAAGTAGAGGGCGAGGCATCACGTCGGAGCTCTAGTTTTTCTCACTGGAATCACCCAGCGAGGAAAAAGCAGCAGGCAGCTGATTACAGCAACCCATTGGCGTCTCCCCGTCATCACAGCCCTCATTGAACTAGAGTCAAAGGGTGCTCTGAGGAGACAGTTCAATGGTCGTCACCCGAAAGGTGCACTTCGCCGAAGGGAAAGAATCATCGCACTTGGCTCATCTGTGCTGCGTCGAGGCGGTTTATGGTTTCACCGGCATCTCGAATGGCCCAAAGCTGACGTGATGTCTCTGAGGATAGGGAAGAGGGATTGATGCGTACCGCCATTTTTGTCGATGTGTCGGGTTGTCGGAAGGTAGAATTTATAAAGCGAGTTCAGTCGGAAAAGCTGCAGAGGGATGTGAAGGAAGGATGTCGCAACCCTATCGGAGATAAGTCGTCTGCAAACTTATCTCCCTTAAATCCGATCACTTCGGCCTCAAGTCCCCTATGTGCCACAAATAAAGGGCTATCCTGCTCGTTCGGCGTTTCGGTGTTTCTGCAGTGCACTTTGAACTCTGCAACTTCGAATTAACTTCATCTTCAATCTTTGGACGGGAATCTTCACAATGGTGAGTCTTTGCCCTTCTGCGTTCATGTAAGAGGAACTGCGAAGCGTACAGCGACAAGGACAGCCCGGGGGATCTAAGAGCTGAGCAAGTGAAGACTGGAAAGGGGTCCGATACGAATGTAACGGCTGGAGGCGCGCTTCTTCAGTTGAACAATGTCGTCTTCATACATCAGCTGACTTGATAGCCCAAAGAAGTCACCGATATCAAAAAGTTTCTCGAGATCGCTCGGAGGAAGGATGCGACCCGTGAGTCTCAGCTACCGATAGCAGTGAACGCACCGCTGACCGCTGCCCTCCATCTTGACCTCGAAACTATATCTCCTCTCGATATTCTTTCCCAATGTCATTTGGCCATTCTTTTGTCCCATCGCCATTGCTGGACATTCCTCATATGATCATCTTTCACTCTTACGGACGGCCCCTTCCCACTTGTTTACCCTTTCAGTCGCTCGCATCAAGAAGTCGGTCTTAAAACCCCACCCCACTTCGGCATCTATCAAAGCCAAGGCGGCCGCCAAACCAGTAGTTGTCACCAAATTCAAGATCCGTTGTTCTCGATACCTGTACACACTCAAACTGCACGATTCTGACAAGGCTGAGAAGCTCCAACAGTCTCTTCCCCCTGGTGAGTCTCGTGCCCTACCCAACCCCGTCCTGGTCCTATCCCCCCTCAGTCTGCCATCCACCCTTACCAAGGAACTTTGTTCTCTGTCCACTCGTTCGCGCCTCAGAAGTCAAAGAATGAGGTACGTCGTCTAACATGCAGGCTTGAAAGTGGAGATCATTGGGTCCAAGTCCGCACCTAAGAAGAAGTAGTGTGACTTCTGGTGGGTCTTGGCTTCGCATGATGCATTCTGTACATCGTTATGAGCTGCGTGCTAGAGCGTATGATCCAGCACAGGCTCGACATCTTGGCTATCAAAAAAATTGTGTGAGATTGTGCGAACGAGGGAGATATAATTACAACTTTTTAGGCTCCTGTGACGTGGTCGGCTCCTCCATTCCCCATGGACCACCAGGTCTCGCATACATCCTCTGAACCACTTCATCCACACTGCCCACTCCCTTGGAACCTGAGTCCCGTTCCATCGCCCATAACAGATCCACCACGGTCAAGGCTTTATCATCTGGGACCTTTTTCTCCCCATTTTGATCTTTGGCTACCACTACGCTCCGTCTCGTCACCTCGGGAACATCTGCTGCTATCTTTCTCTTTTTCTTTCCCTTGACAATCCCTCCTTTCTCCGGGATGTTCTCTTCTGATGTGACCGGTTCTGTCGCCTCGACCCTTGTGGGTTCTTCTGTCTTTGCCTTTTTGGGCTTCAGATTACTTGAGATGGCGGGAGCGTTCGTCATCCAAGCGTATTGTTTTCTCCCACCTGCTTGTCGTAGAGCTGTCGCATTGCTCATCTTTATCTGTACCTCTGCACTCACATCCCTAGCACTCTTCTTGGTGTTCCTTTTCTTATCTGCAGTACCACCAGCACCAAAGGTCGGGGTCCCATCAGCCCTGGGTGTTGAGGGTCCCGACTCTTCATTTGATTGTTCCGCACGATCTCTCACTCTGGCGAGTTCGGTCTCACGTGCCAAACGATCCATACGAGTAGCGCGGAATGTTTGTTCGGCATCTCTATTCTGTCGTGTGAGGGCTTCCATCACCGCATTGGGATTCGACCGTATGGCGTGTGACCACAAAGGTTTACCGGTGGAAGAAAGGGGTGGAGCATGAAGGTGAGATGTGGAAGCTCGATGTTGTTGAGCGTGGATGGAGGATTGAATGATAGCTCGTATACGTGATTCGGCGGCGACAGCAACAAAGTTCATAGCGTCAAGGTCGAATGTCATTCCGTGTTCTTTGCCTGCTTGATCAGCTTCTTATCATATCTGCTATCACGGATGGTTCCCTGGAAGTTGACATGGAAGGATTGCTACTCACCCAGTGCTGCTAGACGATCTCTCAAAACGACGGGTCCAAATAAGTCGGATCTCTTGGCTCGACTGTTGGCACCGGAGAAAGTCCAATTACCTCCCCCCCTACCAGTATTAAGTCTTCTAGCTGCCTCTTCTTCCGCCTAATGGTCAGAGAACCCATTGCTAGCCACTTAAACCGGAAAGCTTACCCGCAAGTCCAACTCCTTGGTGGGACGGCTAATCTTGAAAGCACGTTCATCTCTCTGAGGAGAGAGAGACCTCTTCCTACCCACAGATGATTCACCACCTGTACTTGACCCTGGAGGTACTAGTGCTGTCTGTGAGCCCGTAGGAGCGGCGACTGGGGTGGACATGTCGTAGGGAGAAGGGTGGAAAGAAAGGTGAGGGGGCAAAGTGGGAAAGTCAACTTGAGGCCCGGAAGCAAGAGTTGCTCTTACGTAATCTCGACTGACCGCGTCGCGGGTACAATCTTAATGTTGGTCTCCCCTTCTTCTGCTTTTGCATTTCTGCTTTTTTCTCACCTTTCTTCTTCCGTCGCATCAACAACCTTACAGTGACGCTTTCGGTACGATATGGTACGTGATATATTCTCACATGCCAATTGAACTGCCACGAATAAGTGCTGCCAGCAGGATAGCAGTGTGCTGGATTTGCTGATCTTTCAGAATCCTTTGCTTGCGGCAAGCAATGTGTTAAACCCGCCAAATGCCAATGATGAGGACAAGCTGTCGGACTACGTACCAAACAGTCGTGATATTTCTGTTTCACGCGCTGTGAGTGATCTCTTGATGCTCCCTTCCGTGCTCTGTCCGACTAGGTCAGTATGATGATTTGAGAATCCCCTTATGCAGACACGTAATAGACGAGTGAGGCTGTAGTGCGAAGGAATGGTGTCTGACATGTCCAGCCTTCCGCAGTCGCATCAGATGAGAGACAAAGCAATACTGCACCGGTCACTCCAGAGGACAGTGATGGTGAAGTCGAGCTCGGAGAAGATGATGAGCTGGACGAGGATGATGTCGTAGCTTCTGCAGTGCGTCCTTTCTCCTCTCCTTGCTCATGAGAATGGTGCTGATGGGGCAGTCAAAGACGACACCCTCCGCTTCACGTCGAGTAAAGGAAGCTCAGGCTAAGAAAGCCGCAAACGCCGAGCGTAAAGCTCAGATCGCCGACATAGGCAAGAAGAGAGGAGCTGTAGAGGAAGCCAAGGTCAGCTTTCTGTATTGTGGGGTATCAAACCTGATGAAGTAGTTTGCGGACTCTATGAAACGCTTCAACTACCTGCTCGGTCAGACAGAGCTATTTCAACATTTCATAGATCTCAAAGTAAGTGTACCTTTGCTCTACAACTCCCATTGCTGAACCTGCAGAAAACCAGGGAACCAGAGTTTGCGGCGATGCTGGACGCGCAGCTGAGCGCACGAAATGGGGCCAAAGGCAAGAAGAAGGCCGAGTGAGCTGATGACATCTTCTTATAAGCAAAACTAAGACAACAGGGATCATCGACATCGCAAATCTGAGAAAGAGGAAGATGAGGAGCTCCTGAAAGAGGAGGATGAGACCGACGAGTCGTTTGTGTTCGAAGAGAGCCCTCCTTGTAAGTCAATCATCGTCTCAGATGGTCCGCGGCTAACGAGCTCAGATGTCAAGGGCGGCAAAATGCGGGATTATCAAGTTCAAGGTCTGAACTGGATGATCTCTCTACACCACAACGGTATTAACGGGATCCTTGCCGACGAGATGGTTTGTCCCATTTTACTCTGGCTTGATGTGTACTAACGAACAGGGCTTAGGAAAAACACTCCAGACTATCGCTTTTCTCGGCTATCTGAAATTTCACCGAGAAACTCCCGGTCCTCACCTGATTGTTGTGCCAAAATCTACACTTGATAATTGGGCACGAGAGGTCGAGAAATGGGTACCCGGTTTCAGGACCATAATTCTGCAGGGAACGAAAGAAGAAAGGGTGAGATTGCTGATCACCGAAGAGAAAAAGGTCTGACCACCTAGGCTGTTCTCGTCACCAACCGAATTCTGACTCAGGAATTCGACATCCTCATCACATCATATGAGATGTGCATGCGCGAGAAGTCCACACTAAAGAAATTCTCCTGGGAGTATATCATCATTGACGAAGCCCATCGGATCAAAAACGTCGACTCACTGCTGTCCCAGATCATACGAACATTCGTCAGCAGAGGTAGGCTCTTAATCACTGGCACTCCTCTACAAAACAATTTGCAAGAGCTGTGGGCATTGTTGAACTTCATTCTGCCCGATGTCTTCTCTTCGAGGTAAGTCGGTCTTCCCTCAGCGCAAAATAGACTAATGTCTTAGTGAAGACTTTGACGCTTGGTTCAAGACCAAAGACGACACGGACCCTGATGCTATTGTCAAACAGCTTCACAAAGTCCTCCGGCCTTTCTTGCTCCGTCGAGTCAAGGCCGACGTGGAGCACTCGCTTCTGCCCAAGAAAGAGATCAATCTATATGTCGGCATGACGGAAATGCAGAGAAAATGGTACAGGATGCTGTTGGAAAAAGACATAGATGCGGTGAATGGTAAGTTTAGATCAGTTGTACAAGAGAAGTGACTGACATTCGCAGGTGCAGGCGGAAAAAAGGAAGGAAAGACGAGATTGCTTAACATTGTGATGCAGCTGCGAAAATGCTGCAATCACCCATATCGTGAGTATCGGCATCATTTACGCCACTCTCATGCTGACAGACAGTCTTTGACGGAGCGGTAAGCGGGCAGGTTTGCAATATGAACAAGCTCATTCCCAGGAACCCGGTCCCCCTTACACAACCGACCAGCACCTCATCGACAACGCAGGTAAAATGGTCATCCTCGACAAGCTGCTCAAATCTATGCAGGCCAAAGGCTCTCGAGTCCTCATATTCTCCCAAATGAGCCGTGTTCTTGATATCCTCGAGGACTACTGTCAATTCCGGGGTTTCCGTATGTTTTCTCTCCGCTGACAAGCCTCAAGACTGACGAGGTAGAATATTGCAGGATTGACGGTGGAACAGCCCACGAAGATCGAATCAGTGCCATAGACGATTACAATGCCCCGGGTAGCGAGAAATTCGTCTTCCTCTTGACTACTCGTGCCGGAGGATTGGGCATCAACTTGGTCACCGCCGATATTGTTGTGCTTTTCGACAGCGATTGGTGCGTGATCAGTTTTGCAATGTCTGCATCAGACTGATGCCTACAGGAATCCCCAGGCGGACTTGCAAGCAATGGATCGAGCACATCGTATCGGTCAGACCAAGCAGGTTTATGTCTTCCGATTCATCACACAGGTCAGCTTGCTATCACGCGTCGTTTCTGCGGTCCGTCGACTAATTTCCAGGATGCTGTGGAGGAGCGAATCTTGGAGCGTGCTACTCAGAAACTCAAACTCGATCAATTGGTCATCCAAGAAGGTCGGGCTCAGCAACCGGCGAAACGTGAGTTTGCAATGTGTGTCTTTGCCCTGCTGATAAATCAGTGGCGTCAAACAAGGATGAATTGCTTGACATGATACAACATGGTGCTGAAAAGATCATCAATACCTCTCAGAGGTTTGCATTTCTCCGTTACTCGCTCCTCGGATAGATCTAACGTTCAGTATGTTGATCGACGACGACATCGATGAGATCATCAAGCGTGGGGAGGAGAAGACTCAAGAGCTCGTCTCCAAATATGCCGGCCTTGACCTAGACGCCTTGAACAACTTCAAGTCCGAAAGCCTCGTCAACACTTGGGAAGGAGAAGACTTCGCTCATAAGGTCAGTCACAATCTTGACCATTCCTCAAGTGGCTGACATGATCAGAGGAAAGGACTGATCTGGATCGAGCCAGCCAAGAGGGAGAGAAAGGGCAATTACTCGGTCGACCAATACTATCGCGACAACCTCAAGTTGACCGCCAGCAAGCCAGACAAGCCAAAAGTGGTGCGGCCACCCAAGCAGGTTCACATCAACGACTTCCAATTCTTCCCTCCACGACTTGTCGAATTGCAAAATCGGGAGTTTGACGCTCACCGAGTAAGTCTCCATCGCCCCCCTGTTGCCCTAGTACTGTGCCCACGATGCCTTTTCATATGCTGACTATCGCAGAAAGCTCAGAAGTACGTGGTGCCTACTCGTGAGCCCGAAGAGGGCGAAACGGCCGAAGAAGTTGAGGCCGAACGGGTCGAGGAGCAGGAACGGATCAATAATGGTATGTGTTGACCTTGTTCCTGTATTGAGGCACCAGCTAACATCTTAGCTGTGCCTTTGACAGAGGAAGAAGTCGCGGAGAAAGATGCACTTGCCGGTGAGGGCTTCTTAGAATGGAAACGGCAACATTTCCTGTCTTTTATCAAAGGTCTGGAGAAGTACGGGAGAGACAATCTTGACAAGGTCGCATTGGAGGTCTCAGACAAGACGGAGGAAGAAGTCAGAGAGTATGCGGCGGTGTTCTTCGACAGATATCATGAGCTAAAGGGTGAGTCCACTCCTTCATCCTTCCAATCCTCTGATCAACACCAAGATTTGGTATGAGACCTGATGAGTAGATGCGGACAAATACATGGATCGTATCATTGCTGGCGAGGCTAAACTCCGCGAGCAACAAGACCGGATCGATGCTCTTCACAAAAAAGTCAGATCGTACACGTACCCCATGCAGGAGCTCAAGATACATTATGGACAAAACAAGGGCAAGTCATACTCGGACGAAGAAGATCGTTTCCTGTTGGTCAGAATGCACCACCATGGACTGGACAGGGATGATTGCTACGAGTTGATCAAGAGGGATATCGGAGAATGGCCCTTGTTCCGGTGAGTGAAAATATGGTGATGAACACCCTCTTTCCCTTCAATCCACCATCCAAGACGAGCTGTAAATATGCGATAGAAGGGCGAGGACTGATGCACAGCTTTGACTGGTTTTTCAAGTCCCGTACGCCCGATGAGCTGCGTAGGCGTGGGGCGACCTTACTACTGTGTATCATGAAAGATAAAGACGCGGATGAAGAAAAGGAGAAGAAACCCAAGGCTGGTGGGAAGGTGAGTCCCATCGTTCTTTCATATCGAAGGGAAACGCATAGGGTATCGATACTCATGGAAAGAAACGACCGATCGAGGAGCTCAAGGCGGGCTCGAGGGATACGACCCCCGCCTCGACCGGAGATAAGAGAGCCAGTAAGTCCTTTGACCCGCTTTTGAAACGTTTCAAGAGCTGATAGTTCAAGATAAGAAGAAAAAGACATGAACGGAGGACGTGAGAAGGATTTGTTTTTGTCTAGATGATGCGCGGAATTGATGCGTCGTCTTGAAACGAAATCCGCACCGCCTCGTCGGAGCATCGTCTCGTCGGAGCATCGCCTCGCACGATTTTCACACGATTTCGTTCCCGGCCGCCTCCGCCCCCAACACACGCACCACTGATAAACTAATCACTTCCAAGCTAATGACTGCCCTACCCGCTTCTTCCCTTTCCCTGTCTGTCTCACTTGATGGAACCGGCTGCTGAACCTACGATCTGGTTGGGTAATCGCTCCTTTGCCTCACGGGCAGAGTTTGACAAGTATGTTGCTGACATGCGTGCCCTACTGTGCGCGGAGCCAGTGCCATATCATCATACCCCTATGACTCACTGCTTCATGCCTGGTGCCACAAATGGCCCCGACATGATGTTTAGAGCGACACTTCACAAGAGACCTCATGGATACTTCTTAACTTGGGTTGATGCTCCAAACATCACCGATGACATTTTCAAGCAAGCGCTTAAGGCATCAGTCACCAGTCAGGCTCACCGCAAAGCCCTGGACCAACCAGGTTCCACAGCTGAAGACTTCCCTGAGTTTCTGTCAACGGCAGCGAGGGATATTCTTGCTGCTAATCTCTATGATCAGCTCAGCATCCAATTGTACAAGGCTCCTGATGACCTCAATGATTGGGAATTTGAGCTGCGGGAGGCAAGAGATAGCAAGGTCATTATCTCCCGTCCAGACAATGACATTGGCAAAGTGGCCTTGTGCTTCCCCAGCACAATGTCTGGGTGGACCGCTTATCTAGCATCATTTGATTTGAATATTCGGCAGTTTGTGACATCCGTTGTGACAGTTGGTGGTCTTGGAAATTACTTTCCACCAAGTTCAGTTGAGTTGGTTGGTTCCGAATTGGGCAGAACTTTTGGGAAGGTGACTTTTGTGTCCAGTGAAACAATGCAGCTTATAAGCGGTTCACAATGTCACGAGACCAACTAACCAGCATTGGGACGATATAACAGTGCCCTTCAGAGGCAGCGGTCTAAACCACTGTGCTAAAAGGCCTATTAACCGGCGGTTACTGCATACCGCCGGTCGCTGGTTAAATACCCAACCCATCCTATCACTATCACTATCAAACTGTCTTGTCACTTCGTGACATTATGCCTTCCCTTTCAGCCCCATCTGGGGCCCCAACAGGGAAGGGTACGATAGGCCGAAAACTTTCTCCGAGAGGGAGGTTTTCCAAGTAGGGACTGAATTTGACCCAGCCCACCCTGGGAGTCGAACCCAGGATCCTACCCGTAACCGCCGGTTAATCTGTCACGAGACCAACTAACCAGCATTGGGACGATATAACAGTGCCCTTCAGAGGCAGCGGTCTAAACCACTGTGCTAAAAGGCCTATTAACCGGCGGTTACTGCATACCGCCGGTCGCTGGTTAAATACCCAACCCATCCTATCACTATCACTATCAAACTGTCTTGTCACTTCGTGACACACAAGCAACAGCGCCAGTGGAAGAGACACCCTGTTGTGATTGTTATCTCTCTAGCAACTTTATTTATCAGTTGCCCGTCACAAAGGATGTATCAAGTCGTGCTTTTAACAACAACCAGAACAGAATATGAAGGTGGGACCGGTCTTTTACCAGCGATCCGCCAAGATCTCAACCACCGCTCAATAGGCCTTTTTGTTGCAGTGTGTCATGAATGTTGTTTCTCCTCTTCTCCTCAGACCAGTGGTGTCATGAATCACAAGTATCAGTTTCCTCATGTTTTAGTTCTGCTCTGATGCCTTTGAGGCAAGAGACCTGAACCTTTAGTTAGTTATGTTATTCTCAGTTATGATGCCTGGTATGGCATGAGACCCAAGACTTCAGTACAGTTGGATTTAAGGTGAGCGTATAGTTCATGACATGATGTGTGCTTTCCTGTGCGGTCCACAGTGTATTACACGCAGCGCGCCAAGAATAGTGTGCAGACGTCTTTGCTAGTCAGAAAATGATAGGTACGCCCAGGCTTACGGTGTTTTTGTCACGAAGTGACAAGACAGTTTGATAGTGATAGTGATGGATGGGTTGGGTATTTAACCAGCGACCGGCGGTATGCAGTAACCGCCGGTTAATAGGCCTTTTAGCACAGTGGTTTAGACCGCTGCCTCTGAAGGGCACTGTTATATCGTCCCAATGCTGGTTAGTTGGTCTCGTGACAGTTTTCCTACGCAGGACGGTTCAACCTGGTAGAAAGCCTGATTTGTCTATATAAACCTGTCACGTGGCACCGCGTGACATCATTTTTCCCCATCAACAAGGTTCCTTTGGACATCAGTTTGCCATCAACGATCCAGTTCTCATGAACTTCATCACCCACGAGGGTATTAGGAGGCTAACTTCGTCGAGGGCAAAGTTAGTCATGTAGGAAGTTAGGGAGATACAAAGTTAGGGAGATACAAAGTTAGGGAGAGACGAAGATAGGGAGATATGAAGTTAGGGAGGCACAAACTTCGTCGGGGACAAAGTTCGTAAGGTACGAAGCTCGGGACTTCGGGTTGAACGAAGTTCTGTGTTGAAGAAGTTAGGGAAGGACGAAGTACGTAAGGGCCGAAGTCCCCAGAGATCTTTGATGATCTCTGGTTGTTGTCTTAGTGATAGAAGTTAGTAAAGTACAAAGTTATTACACCCAGAAGTTATTGTCACCTATTTCATATTTTGAGCAACGAGGTAGTCAAAGGTCGAAGCCCACAAAATTATTGGCCGTCGGTCCTAGGAAGTTAACGAAGATACAACCCTGTGACAAAACCCTACTTAGTATTTTGTAGTCTTCTTTAGTTCTTGATCAAAAGTCACTTCCATTGCCACCCTTTCTTTGAGTCCAGTCCAGTCCAGTTACAGTTACAGTCCAAGTCCTTCCTAGTCTTGTTAGACAAGCCAGAGACATTCCTTGGGTCACAGTCCCATTCCTTGTTGGACTCAGTCCTGTTATCATAAGTATATTCCTTGTCACTCCTAGTCCTTGTCCCCTTGTCCTCTGTCCTCTGTCCTCTGTCCTCTGTCCTCTGTCCTCTGTCCCAGTCTGGGCAGTATCCTTGACAAATGGCCAACAAACCTCCGCTAACCATGTCATACTAGGGCTTTGATGTCTCACTGAGACAGGTGTCATGAACCATGTTGTAACATCCCTGACAACCACCATCATGAACTGTCACAATGTCACGGCCGTCGAACAACTACTTCTTAATAGACCGACGGTCGACGAACCTCGGCTAACTTCACGCTCTGAGTCGATGTCTCACCCAACCAGGAGGGCGCAGACGTCGAAAGGGGTGTAACTACGGCGTACTTCGGCGTAGTTACTCTAACTAGGGTTTTTCTGATGGCGATGTATCTTGATTTATAGCTATCTCTATCTGTCTTTTACTACTGACAACAATCAAGGATCGCTGAAGAACTTCAGCGATCTTCTCAGCTAATATTATCTACTCCTCCTAGACGTTCATCCAACCCTCTCGCGCTTTGACGTACTTCAACGCACTTCGTCCAACTTCCCCGAGCCCTCGGCCATCCTCTTCCTCCTTCGACTAACTCCGCCTAACATCGCCGCACTTCTGCTCCCATTGTCCCTACTTAGCCTAACATCGCCGCACTTCTGCTCCCATTGTTCCTACTTAGCCTAACTCCGTCTAACTTCGCCGTACTTCTGCTCCCATTGTCCCTACTTAGCCTAACTCCGTCTAACTTCGCCGTACTTGGTGTCAGAAGTCCTGAGTTACGTGTAGAGTAAAGAGGTTAAGGCGTGATGGGGTTTTGATGGCCAAAGGAGGGTCATTGTTGGTGGAGTAATCGAGGTGTCACGACGTAGTTCGTGACAGTCGCCCCCTTCTTTAGCCGCGAACGTCCTCGTGAGCGATTACACCTCTGTCGTGGCAAGAGAACTTAGCAGCGTAGTACCCCCATTCTCTCCCTCCCCACGACCAACCTTCACTCTTCTGTTCTTTGCGCCGCACTTCGTAGTTGGGCCTCCTTTCACTCCAGAACCCGACAATGAGACTCCCCTAACTTCGTCGAGGTTTGCCGTAAGAAGCCCTGTGTCTTTTGTAGGTGAGACACGCTTCCTGAATGGCAGCCGAACAACACCGTAGTTTGTCGAAGTAACCCTCGTTTATATTGAGATGAGACACTATAGCGTGGGAATTTTGATCGTCCCTGCGATGCCTTTTGTTGATGAAACGCGAAGGATGCCGCATGTTGACGACGGAGGGGTAACTCGAGTTATACTAAGTACTGAGCAGTTCATCGTCCTTCTCTCTCTTCCCCATCTGTTTTCAAAACTTTCTATCTCTCGCGCTTAGAAAACGGATTTGTTACCTCGACGTATCATCTTTTATTTCTTTAAGTATTTTTAACGTCATGACCCCTCCTACTCCCACCTCTAACCCTTTCGCCGCCATGAGGAACTTTGGTGGTATGGTGTCGTCTGCTCGTGAGTCTTTCCCCTGTACTTACCGCACTTCGCCGCACTTGGCTGACGTTCAGTTTCCTTCGGTGATAGGTCTCGCCAAGTTTCCTCTCTTGGCCTCGGCACTCTTTCCCTGGGGGAACCGTCTGGCGCCGCCTCGCCTCCTCGCTCTGCTTCTCCTCCCGCCAGTCCTCCTGCCGGTTCTCCCGCCCGTTCTCCCTCCGCTTCTCCTCCTGCCGCCAGCCCTCGCCGCAGGACGCCCGCCTTTCGTCCTGGTGAGTCTCCGTCCTCCTCCGACCAGGAGTCGCTCAGTGGTTCGGAGTCGGACGATCAGTCAGACTTCGAAGGAAAAGGGGGTGATTATAGTGATGAGGAGGATCAGGATCGTGAGGGTGAAACTGAGTTAGAAGATATCTCAGATGATGATATGGTGGCGGTTAGTGTAGAGGATAACAATGTTGATAGTCCTGAGTGTGAGTTCTTCGCCCAACCTCCTATACCTTCGCCGAACTTGGCCTTGTTTATCTGTTCTTTAGCTCTCCAA